GAAGAAGCGAACCATCAGATGCAAAGGACAAGCGCGTCGGATGTGCGTGACAAAACTGGAGAAGGGTCAGAACAACAGTGAGGGAACAAAATCAAAGAACGCCGACTGGGCAAGAACCAGTTGATGCGAAGGCGACAGCCACGACAAACGTTTCTTCAGTAGGTTGATGAGGGCGAATGGCAGGGCGAAATCAAGGAGATGGATACACTCCGCCGAACTAAGAAGGATAAAGGAATTAGAGGGTAAAGGTGAATTGAACGAGGGTTAGAGTTGAAAAGGCTTTTGAAAATTTTGGTAATGTTGAAAACTTAATGAGCCCAAACCAAAAATATAGCGCCATTTCAAATTTTTTGCCGTTCTGGCCTCATACAAAATTGGAATATCTTCGGTCACGGGAATGGCACGCTTATTGATCACAGGATACAACCCTGTGAGCGATTTAGCAATGTTTAGTGTACTTAGTTACGGGATTTAATTACCGTTATATTTATTATTTACATTGTCACGGGAACATTCCCATGATTAATTTCCTATGACTATAGGGTGATTTTGTTGTAGTGCTCTAAGCCCAAAATTAGAGTTTCATTTGGAGTTTAGGGTTTGAATTAGTGGGTTTATTGTTTGAATTAGGAAATAAATTAGGTTTATTATTGAAATTTAAAAAATAAGTCGTTTGAATATAGAGTTTCGGGTGGTTTGAATTAGGGTATAGAGTTTTTTTATTATTATCCAGTAATCTTAGCCGCACGTGCCACTTTGTTACAGCGGGTCCTACTAAATTTGGGGGCCACCTGCAATCAAATTCGACACGAACGAGGCTTTGCCACCAGCAGCCTTGTACCTCCGGGTAGGGGTGGAAATCGGTACGGTATCGGTATTCCAATACCAATATACCGAATACCTAATTATACCCTAAAATTAATCCCAATCTCAATCTCTAAATAATTTCAGTATCTCAATCCCTAAATATTTCGATATCCCAATCGGTACCTCGGTATGACAATCGGTATTATCGAATACAAAATTAATTATCTTTGTAATTAATAGTTAAATATATAAATTAGATTTTATTGTTTAATTTAGGGCAAAGAGACTAAGCAAAGAGTCTTGAGTTGTCTAGAGCTAACATCTCAAGTTCTTGTAATTGGTAATCTTTAATTTGACGAATTTGAGGTTGAGAGACAACTAATACTAGTGTCAAATAATGATGTAATGATCTATGTATAATTAAATGACACTCTTGGTGGTTGAGGATCGCGTAGTAGTGAATGAGAGATTCTAGTTGAGAAGATAAAATACACACTAGCTTATATTTCAGTATTAATCGGTTGTTGGTATATACCGATCCCAATCCCGTAATCCCTAATACCGAATAACAATTGAAATTCAATCCCAATCCCAATCCCACGAAATAATACGTGTATTCGGTAATACCAAATATAGACAAATTCGGTACGATATTCGGTATATCCCAAATACTAGTATCAAACTTCCAGTCCTACCTCTGGGAACACCAACGGGCCTCGCTTGGATTCGAACATGGGATCTGCAACTCTCAAATCTTCATTGTCGCGGTAGATTTACCGTTAGGCTACCTTAATTACCTTTGGTAATTAGGGTATAGAGTTAGAAAGGTTCTCCGGTGAGTTTTCCGGTCCTTCTGGATGACTTTACGAAGAACGTAGTTTTTACAATTGTTTAAGTTTTTTGGATGTTTGGGGAGTTTGATATTTTTGATAAGTTGTGAATTATTCAATTCCCAAAGGCGTATATAAATAGAATATAACTAAAAATATATATAAAAAGTAGGCAAAATATAGTAATTGAGTTGGCGGCAAATAACATGCCTCTATATTTATCATCATGAACTTTATTATTTAATTATGCACTAAAGTTTACACTTATTAATGTATGTGAAGTAATTATTTAGGTTGGACGAACAAAAAACACTTTTCAATGCGGACACCATAAATTATTCAAGTTGATGCATTGCTGTGACACAACTCATTCTGATTAAAGCTGAATGAACAGTTGAAGACACCACTCAATCTGATTAACACTGAATGACTTGTTGATGACACCAGTCAATTTGAATAAAGTTGAGTAAACAGTTGATGACACAACTCAATAAGACAAACATGTGATGTATCTATGGTAATCTAAACTAGATATTGTGTTTTCGTCATTGATGACGTCATATTTAGCAATAATTATTTTAGTGACCGAATTAGAAAAAATTTATCAAAATGTTGATTTTAATTAACTAATACTATCTAAATAAAAATAATTTAAAAACTATATAATTAACGTTATAAATCTACTATAAATTACATTAGCTCAAAAAATAGAATTCTTGCTATTTAGTACTCCATTGGGCATTGAAGCAAAAACCACTTTTAGGTACCAAAGAGCAAAACTTAATCTTCCTCTATAGCACTACCCTGGAGATGGTCTTAGAAGCATCATCGTCATCAATGCACATAAATAGATTGCTCGATCGGCTTGTTTATATATTCTACCAACTAGCCTTTTACCCGGCCCGTTGGCCGGAGAGATTTATTTTATAATTTATATGTTTAAATCATTTTGGATCTTCTAAATATTTTGTAACCGAGTTTGTAGTATGTTTATATTAAAATTTCCAATATTTAGCACACTCACTTTTGATGCTTCGGTTTTCGAATCATAAATTATGCCGCTGTCATGTCCCATTTAGAACTTATGTCAAAATTTGTCAACCAAAACACTAATATTTAGCGTACGCCAACCTAAACCACACACACATATATAGTTCAAGCTAGCGTGCTCCATGAGTACGTTATACTCTTGCGTTCATACTACCATACGACCATTGAGTTTTACTATTTAGACCCGAATTAACCGGATTTTTTTGGGGCATTATACTATACCCTAACCTCTAATAGGTGAACTCTAGTCCCTAATTCTGTAACCTCTAATTTATGCACATACTTCGTAATACCTATCTTCTATCGTATCTTGAGTTAAATAAAAAGTATAGTATACCTTGATATTACATATACATGTATATATGTGTGTGTATGTATATTACACTCAAAATTATCTAGAGATCTCGCTTTTACCCCCATAACGCCAGAGAACCATTGGGGTTGTCTATTGTTTGATATATAATATATAAAAAGGTAGGGATGACGGGATCATAGCTCGATATGGTTTTATTATGTTCATCTTATCAGAGGTTATGTTCTTTTTTGCTTTTTTGGCTTCTTTTTTATTCTACTTTAGCACCTGTGGTTGTGATCAGAGGTATTTAGCCCTCGAAAGGGATTGGGATTTTAGGTCCTTTGGAAATCCAATACACATTAATGATCCTCGAGTTTGGACGAACTCGAGACCAATGTTGTAAAAATTATAACTTTTTAGTGAGAAATTCTTAGTAAAGATACTTCATTATTGGATTTATTCATCCATATTGAAACTTGACACACACTGTAGCCCTCATGATGACTAAATTCTCTAATCTCGACTCATTTCCATTTTGGATGTTTGTTTTTTTTTTATCCAGACACTTAAATTTAGTATATTATACAATATGTATCCATTGTTAATTTTTGAAGTTTATACTAAACCTCAACCGGTGGTCATTGTTTATATGTTGACTTAGAATCTCAATCTAAGGCACTCACACACACTATCGAGGATTTTTGGCCTTAACATGGTCGTTGAATGTGTAATTTTCAAAGATTTTATCGCGTATATATTAATAATTGATAAATATTGTCTCCAATACACACATATTTTAAGTGCATTTAAAATGTCTTATCATTTGAACAATATCAGTGTATTTCATTTGATTATTTACATTAACTTATTAATTTATACAACATATATTAATTCGTTTTTCTCGAGTCTAGACGAACTGAAAACCATTTTGAGAGTTGAGCTTATTGGATAAAGATACTTGATTGCTGGATAAATATGTTTATCCCAATTGACGATCTTACTAAAAATTGCCAACCTTTATTTGGTAAATGCCTATGTTAGTAGTTGATGAAACGTGATGTTTATCGTAGATTCTGAACAGAGATTTTTCTAACCTTCACATCTATTATTTTTCAAGGAATCTTGTGTCTAAACTTATCATTGAATTTTAGTAAAAATGAGTAGAAAATTTATTTCATAAGGTTTAATCAGATATTTTTTATTTAAATAAATGTGAAATATGTCACTCTCTTTTTTCTTATTTATATTTTGTGTATTTAAAAAAAATTATTATTTATGTGTGTTTGGTTAAGTTTATCAACATGTTACTTATTATTAAAGACAAAAAAGAATAAATGGATAAATGAAAAAGAATAATTGGATAAAAGAAATTGAAATATTAAAGAAGAGAGAGGTAGCTTCATAAATACATTAATAACTAATTTTTTGTTTGTAAAAAAGTTGTCCAACTTGGCAAATTGTGGATCCTCCAAGTGCTTATGTGGTAAGAATTTTTTTTTTGAATTGCCATAATATATAGTATAGATATAGATAGATAGATAGATAGATAGATAGATATAATGCAAAAACAATATAATTATTGGATAAAAGAGAATTAACTATTAAATGAAGAGAGAGGGACAGATTCACTGGACCACCTACTCGACTTCCCTAGTGAATCAGTACTGCTGTCCTGATCCAGGCAATTAATATGGTGCAGTCGACAGACGCGTTCAAGCTAGTGTCCTCAAAATACTCACCAGGCCAAATAACACAAAACTGTCCGTAATTATTTAGTAGCGTCAGATATATGCTTCTTTTTCTTTCTTATATGTTAATGGAGATAGATTGGTATTTACATTCCATACTGTGAATTTGTAATGGATGTTATTTATACTAATTCCATGCAACTAAGGGAAAACTACTGTTCAGTTTAATTGATGTGTATAAGAAATTTTGCGATCAATTTGATATAGACGGCTTCTTATCACTAAACATTTCAGATTGTATAGATTTAATTAAACTATTGAACGTTCGGTGTTAAATGATAAATATTCCTACAGTTCAATGTTAATTTTAAGGCAGAAAAAAGAGGTGGGAACAAACAAATAAATGGCAGCGAGACCATAGTACGTACGTGTCATTATTTCCCTTGTCCATGAAAAAGCAAGGAAATCGTTATACGTCAAAGAGTGATTCATCGGACCAATCAGAGAGAGCAAGCTTGTAGGTAGGCAAATCGCCGTCCCCGTTTGATATTGTGATTGCCGGGGAGTGGAAAAAACGCATTAAATCCCGGCCCCAACCATCGATCAACCAACTAACCGGCCGACCCACGACCGAAACCCATCCTCTGCTTTTCCCTATATAAACCCTCCTCCGGCAGCTTCAACATTCACTCACCCAGCAATCTTCTCTCGATCGAGCAGCTTTCTAAAATACAACACCTTTCTCTTACCTTACACTTCTCGTAGCCCTTTTTTGTTGTGAAGAATGGCCGGTGCAGCAGCGAAGGTGGTGTCGATGGTCCTGGTGTGCGCCTTGGTGGCAGCTCCATACATGGCGTCGGTGGATGCCATAACATGCGGTCAAGTGGCGAGCAACCTGGCTCCATGCCTGGGTTACCTGAAGGGCCCTGGGCCCGCCCCCGTCCCGGCGGGATGCTGCAACGGGGTGAAGGCCCTCAACGCTGCAGCCCAGACCACACCCGACCGCCAAGCTGCTTGCGAGTGCTTGAAATCCACCGCCGGCTCAGTCGGCGGCATCAACCCCGGCAAGGCCGCTGGCCTCCCCGGTGCCTGTGGCGTCAACATTCCCTACAAGATCAGCACCAGCACCAACTGCAAATCGTACGTTACGTTGTTATTTTTTATTGTTAGCTTTCAACCTTCCATGCTCTAGTAGTTGTTATTGTTTCTATCCTCATAGTTGTTAATATGTTCTCTGGTTTTCTTTTGGCAGCATCAAGTGAAGCATACGTGTAAGCGAACGTGAGCAGGGAATTAAGCGGCCATATTAGTTTCTGCGCTAATATAGTTATTATCAATAATAAAATGTGATACGAGTCTAGTACGTACTGTGGTGGCTCTTCATTGTCTCTCCACTGGTCTATGGATCCTTTGTGTTTTGTAACGTTAGTTGTGAGTTGGCCACAGGTGATTCATGTATGTGCGGCACTATATGGTTGATAACACGTACGTAAATATTGGCACTTTTATGTAATGAAATGGGGATGGGATTAGGTGAAGGGTTAGCACCGTGATAACTAGCAAAAAATGCTACTAAAAATAACGAAATCACTACGGATTAGTATAAAATCAATACAACATCTAAGCTAAATCACTACTAATTCAAACTAGTAGTAGTTTTTTCCTTGGTTAGGACGGTGCTAACTATTGTACAATTCGCACCGTAACCGCTCCCAATGAAATGAAAGTGGCTAGCGGTATGCATATGCTGCCACTTCATCTTTTATCTTTTATTATGGGTTAATACTTTATTTTGGCCTCAACTATAACCATATAATTAATTTTGATCCGTGATTTCAGAAATTAACATCCTGACCTCAGTTATGCAACATATATATTTAATTGGCGCGACACATGGTTTGACCGTCAATTTGGACGGTCAACACCGTTCACCATTAATCAACACGCCATGTCATTGCCTCATAAGCCTAAAAATCATTAAAAAAATTCAAATTCAAATTCAAATTATTTATCATTATCAAATTAACCAAAATATAAATTATAATAATTTTTTTTTTTAATTTTTTGGGTAATTTGAAAATGATAAATTTTATAAAATCACCAAAATTATCAAATGATTTTAAATTTTTTTAAATTTTATTTTCTGGTTAATTTGAAAATGATAAATAATAGAAATTAGAAAAATAATTTGAATTTGAATTTTTTAATGAATTTTAGGCTGACATGGCACTTTGACTAAAGGTCAATGGTGTTGACCGTCCAAATTGACGGCCAAACCATGTGTTGGGCCAATTGAGACTATATGCTGCATAGTTGAGGGCAGGATGTTAATTTTTGAAACCACGGGCCAAAGTTGATTATATGGTCACAGTTCGGGCCAAAATAAGGTATTAACCCTTTTATTACTGGCAATTTATAATATAATCTACCGATACAGTCCATCTACATCATTTGACTAAAATCCAATGGGATTGATAGATTCACGGATCGTTTGCAAATTACATTTTAGTACCAATATTTTTATACTTTACAATTTGGTACCTAATATGTATTTTTCATACAAAAAGTGTCATTGTAAATTTTTTGTTGAGTCGGTTTATGTTATATCATAAAAAAAGGATTGTTGACAACAACCCATGTTAATTAGAAAGCTATACAATATGGACTATACATTACTATGGGAAAAGCTTAAATACTTTGACCCTTAAGATTTTCATCATCGACATATTGAGATGGGCTTAATTTCACCTTAAAGTTGACCGATTAGCTTCTAGATTTTCGATGGACTTACTATGGTCCAATTGTTCTACGCTAGTAGTCACCTTAACGCCTCCTTGTCGTCTGCCGTATTTTTTTTGTTGCCCCTTCCTAATTATATTTCTTGTTGAATTCGTCGTCTTGTCGACTACCACCTTTTTATTATAACTTTCGTTATAAACTTGTATTGTCCTCCTTAATTCCTTACTTACACAATTCCTTTATCCATACTTTGCACTAGCTAGCTTTGATACAATAACTGAACTCAATTCACTAGTTCCTCATCGTTTATTAGAGCCAATATATCCACTAGAGGCTTGCTCTAGGTAGAATTTAACATATGTCACCCACATCTTTTACTCATGTTGAAGCTTGGCCATGTCCTTAATATGTTAGTTTAGGTTTTGATCACTTGAATCCGTGCAGGTTATTGTGAGAGGTTAGCACGTATCAATAATTATCCCATCCTAGGCCAAGTTTAATCCAGAACGCATTCCCGTATAGTGGCAATCAAGGTCGTATTCTACTGGTGTTCTTGTACCCTAGCTTACTTATCACCTAGTTGCTAATTAGTTAATCGGTTTTTGAGGTTTTGAGTGGAGGATATGAGGAAACACTAGTCTAAAGATTGATCAAAGCTAAAAACAGGTCTTCGGGGAACTATACCTCCCCCTAGCTTAGGGTTAGGTTATTACTATGCATATCTAGATACTTAGGATCATCGAATATAGTGAGTGAGCTATTTTTTGTGGGCTTTCGTGGTTATCCACACACTTTCCACTACAAGAAATTTGACCTTAAATGACAAATTAATTTTGTTGTCATAAAATATTTGTCATATTAGGCAACCAACTATGAAAAAAACGGACTTGTCACATTTAATTGACTATATGCGACAAAATTTATATTTGTCATTTAAAGTTGTCATAATAGAGTTATATTGTGACAAATTTTTTGTTGTCATTATAATTTTGTCACTATATGTTTTATTTACCGCGCAAATACGGCTACTGAATGACAAAACACCCCGTCACCTTATGGTTTGTCACATTATGTTCAAAAAATCCTCTGATATGACAATAGAATTTGTCATAATATGGCGTGCAGAATGAAATAAAATTTTTCTTTACATTTTTTTAGAATTTCTATTTTTCGTTCACAATTCCATTCAACGGGACTATTATTCCCCTTCCCTCCAAGATGATAAAAATCCCCAATCCTCTCTAACCCTTAAGCTCCAAGAACAGAAACCCCAATTCCATCTCCACTACGAATTGAAAAGTCCAAACCCCTCTCCCCACATCCTCTTCAGCGATTCATCTGGCTACATTCTCCTCCCTGCGAATCGATTGTCCGGTAAGTCTCGTTCTTCTCCTCGCCCTGGACTCCTTTTCCTCTGCGATTTTGGTGTTGATTTGCATGGTGGATACCTGATTCCGATAAAATCAGAGTTGGGTTCCTCATGTTTCTTCTTCTATCTCTGTCGTTCATAGGCGCTCTTGCACAGGGGTAGGGATTTCCCTCTGAATCCACAGTCTCCGATTAACCAAGTTGAAACTCTGCTTCGACGGCCTGCCTTTCCTGCCGCGAGTTCCCTCCGTCGATAATTCGAGTAAGTTTGGCCATCGATTTTGTGTAAGCCCAGTGTATGGATTGGCTTACATAAATAACTGTTAGAAATTTTTTGGAGCTAGTACGCGAGATGAGTTAATTTGATGCAATGGATTTGGATGAAGGCGACATTTTTGAAAAGTTGTTTTTGATGGGGATGGTGGTTGTTTCTGAAACGCCAATGTGCCATGCCTTACACCGGTCGTTCTCTAGCTTGTTGATGGTTGTGAAGTCTGAATATGGTGTTGAGTGCTGCCCATTTTATTTGAAATCTGCTTTGATTTCCTCCGTACTTAGCCACTTGAATGTGTTACGGAGATGTAGAAAAAAAGTAAATGTTTAGGTTTTGGAGGTAAAGAATCATTATCAGATAACCTTTTTTATATCAGTAAGGTGCCTTCTGAATAGCCTTAGTGAAGGTAGGTACTATGTTCTAATCAGTCTTGTATTATGCCATAGAAAGCCTTCAGAATCTGAAAAATGATTGAAAAGATTAGTCCTTCTGATTATTACCTCAGCTACCCAGATGTTGAATTAGTAATTCTGATGACTTCCCTTGATCTTGTTGATTCTGAAACGCGTATGATTTGAAACACCATGCTTTTTGGGTTTAACTAAGATGACTATCTCTCTGGTGTACTGTTTATCTCCTTTTTAAGTTCAAAAAAGCATAATTTGTTTACTAGATTTGAGTTACTTTGAACTGATTTCAAAGTTTAATACTACATGCAGGTTATTTGTCTCTTTGGTCGATTACAACCTGCTGTGGCAAGTTACAGACTGCAATCAAAGGCCAGTTATACCTTAACGCGTAATGAGTCATGAGTGGATAATGCTCAAAGATCATTGGTGTGCTGATTATGAGTTGGGTGTTAATGAGTTCATGGAAGCTGCTTCTAAGCATGTTGATGCAATTGGTAGGGTTAGATGTCCGTGCAAGAACTGCAATAATCTACTTTAAGACATTAGTCCAGGTGCAGGGAGACATATTTAAGCATGGCATGGTCGAGACATATAAAACGTGGGTCCATCATGGTGAGTCTTATGGTGTTAGTAGTAGTGGTGAAAACCCACCGACTGAGTCTGACGATGTTCATAATGAAGAGAGTGGGTTACAGACTGAAATGTCTGAAATGTTGGGTGATTTTGGTAGGGCTAATGAGTGTCTAACAACCGTTAAACCTTCCCACGGTCCTAATAATAATGGTGCATTGGCAAGGCTCCTCAAAGATGCCAATTGCCCTCTTTACCCTTAATGCCAAAAAAAAATTCAAAACTGTCATATGTTATGAAAATGATGAACATCAAGATACAGACAAACAGTAGTGATAAAGCATTCAACCAATATCTTGAATTAATCAATGAAGGTTTACCGAATGGGGAAACACTTCCCACTTCATTCTATGAGGTGAAGAAGTATATGCGTGATCTTGGATTTGGTTACACCATCATCGATGCATGTCCCAATAACTGTGTTCTGTATAGGGGACAGCTTGAAGCTGCTCGAGAATGCCCAAAATGTAAAGAACCTAGGTTTAAATCTGGTAAACAGAAAGATGTTGCCTTAAAGAGAGCTAGATACTCCCCCATTATGGATAGGTTGCAGCAGTTGTTCACTACCAAAGATCTAGCAAAAGATATGCGGTGGCACAAGGATAAACGCGTTGATGATGATATGCTTAGGCATCCAACTGATGGTAAAACGTGAAAGGATTTTGATCGGGATCACCCTTGGTTTGTTGCGGATCCCAGGAATGTCAGACTAGCGCTTCTTAGTGATGGGTTTAACCCATTCGGTAACATGAGCAACAGCTACAGTATGTGGCCTGTTGTCTTAACCCCGTACAACTTACCTCCTTGGTTATGTATGACCGACCCTTTTTTTTCCTCAGTGTCCTGATTCCTGGTCTCGAATACCCCGGGAATAACATTCATGTCTATCTAGAACCCATTATAGAACAGTTGAATGAGTTGTGGCATGATGGGATTCTTACATATGATGCTCATGCAAATGAATCTTTTCAATTGCATGCTGCATTGCTGTGGACCATCAATGATTTTCCTGCATATGCCATGCTTTCTGGGTGGAGCACTAGGAATTAACTAGCCTGCCCAGTGTGCAACATTGAGACTTGTTCTCAACATTTGGAATATGGAAGCAAGGCATGCTACATGGGGCATCGAAGGTGGTTGGACAAAGATCATCGTTGGAGGAGGAGTAATAAGTTCAATGGGAAGCCAGAACACAGAAACAAATCTAAGCAATTATCAGGGGAATAGATACTGCAACAGGTTGAAGCTGCGTTCAGTGGGGATGTTTCTGTTCATGATGGTGTGAAACGGAAAAGGAGTGTTGCGGAGGACAGGTTCAATTGGAAAACAAGATCTTCGTTTTGGACTTTGCCATATTGGAAGTCTATTGACTTGTGGCATAACATAGATGTCATGCATGTGGAGAAGAACATTAGTGACAATGTTATCGGGACGATGATGAGCATTGATGGGAAAACAAAGGATACACCAAATGCTCGCATGGATTTAAAACAAATGGGCATTAGGAAGGAATTACATTTAATTCCTGTTGGTGATAATTTTAAGATGCCACAAGCCTTATACACACTAACAGAGCTGCAACGTAGTGAATTCTGTGACTGGTTGAAATTTGTAAAATTTCGCAATGCTTATGCATCAAACCTATCCCGGTGTGTGACTACTGATGGTAAGTCGGTGACGGGGTTGAAAAGCCACGATCACCACGTATTTATACAACGATTGCTGCCTGCTATTGCTAATGGTTTCTTCACAAAAGAAGTTTACACTATTTTGGCTGAGTTGAGTGGTTTTTTTTGGAGAGTTGTGTTCCAAAACGATATCCAAAGCCACTGTAAAAAATTTGGACCACAACATACCTCTCATTTTGTGTAAGCTTGAGATGTTATACCCTCCATCTTTTTTCGTGGTTATGATGCACCTTCCCGTTCATCTACCCCATGAGGTAGAACTTGGTGGACCGATACAGTATAGGTGGATGTATCCCATGGAAAGGTAGCCTTTTTCCTTTAGTTTTTCGTTCACACCATACTCTAATTTGTTAACCCACTATGTCCTTAACCTTATTTTATGGGCTGTTGTTTTTGTGTACTTAGGTTTCTTGGTACCCTTAAAAGTTTTGTTCGAAATAGGGCTAACCCTGAGGGATCCATTGCAGAAAGATATATTGCAAAAGAGTGCTCCGATTTTTGTTCTAGATACTTGGAAGGGTTTGAAACAAGGTCTTCTAGTCCTAACCGTAATGATGATGGGTTTGAAGGTGTTGAGTCTGATGGCTTTCGTGTTTTTACCCAACAAAGTAGAACACTAGGAGCTACTCGTTATGACCCGATTTCAGTAGAAGAATTTGAGCAAACTCAATGGTATATCCTTAATAATTGCGATGAAATTGAAGCCATTATCAAGTAAGTAAAATCTAACTTTGACTACTAAATGCAACGTATTCTTTTACACATCTTTACTCCCCGACATATCTGATTTCTTATCACTGCACAGCATGCATAAAGATGAGAAGGTTAAAGAGAATCCTAACATTTCCTATCAATCCCTTAAAACTAACTTTCCATCTTAGTTGAAGCAAAATGTAAGTTATGGTGGATGATTCCCCCATTCCTGCCTTCGGTGCCATTTTATTTCATTACAAATAACTGATTTCCTGTTAATCCCTTAAAGTGCGAGACCATTTACATGTTTTAGGGTTAGGGGCAGACACACGCGTCACTACGTACAACGGCATCCTCTTTAATGGTGTTCATTACCAAGTGTTTGACCCAAAACAAACCCATAGGACTTAGAACAACGGTTTATTTGTGGAAGGGGCTCATAATGGAGAGAATATTGACTTCTACGGTGTGCTAGTCGACATATATCAACTGACCTACTGCTATGGTAATCCCGTTTTTGTGTTCAAATGCGATTGGTGGAATGTAGGAGATGGCAGACATGGGATACGAGCAGATGGGTTCATTACTAGTGTTAATATGGGTAGAAAATGGTATCAAAATGAGCCATATATATAGGTTGGTCAAGCGAATCGGGTATTTTATATACCTGATATAAAGAATGGTGGTGCTTGGCATATTGTTATCAAGGTTACTCCCCGACACGTGTATGATGTTCCTGAAAAGGAGGAAGGGGAAATCAATGATCCTGTGTATGCAAGTGAGGCGTTTCAGCAAGAAGAGAGTGGTGTTGGCAATGTGATTCAAGTGCAGGATACGGAGTTGGATGATCTGAATCGTGCAAACGTGGCTCCCACAATGGTCAGTGAGAGCGTTATTAAAAAAAGGGTTGTTGTACAAGACACAGAGAATACAATGGAGGTCGAAGAGGACGACACATTAGCTGATTTTGATGATGTTTTGGAGGGAGCAGCAGCTAATAACCCTTTGGAGGAAATCGACAGTGACGATGAATATGACAAGTAGCGAGTGCATGATGACAGCTGGTCCCTTTATTTTACGTCTTGTTTTCTACTTATTGCTAAGACAAAATACTCATTTCCCCATTTAACCAAGTACAGAAGGATTTGATTTTGCATTTACTTATACTGTTTTACAATGTATGCAAAATTTGGGTTAATAAACTACATATATTGCTAAGACAAAATATTCACTTCCCTATGTTGTCTAATATACTCTACATCTTTGTTGAGTTTATACGTTTAAAGTGTTTGGATATTTGCTGACGGTTTAACTTTGTTTGGACTGTGAGCAGAAATGCCACCGAGGCCTGAAAAGAAAGCCAGGACTGGGAAACAACCGATGACGCTCTGTGAACGAGTGACCAGATATCATCCAGCGAGGAGTGTAGAGAATGCAGGGAGCTCGTGCATGGGTCCACTGAGGTCTCCGATAAAAAAATGCAGGTCTCCGAGGGGTAAAGGGAGGTCTTAGAGGGGTGAAGGGTTGTCTCCGAGGGGTGGAGGGAGGTCTCAGAGGGGTGAAGGGGTGTCTCCGAGGGGTGAAGACCGGGTGTCTCCGAGGGGTCCAAGGAGGACTACTAAACCTATAGAGGATCTTGACGAGAATGCAGGTAATACTCCCACATCCATGCCTGAACAACCGAAAAAGACAGGTGCGTGTTATCCTGTCTCTTCTTTTGTCACTTGAGAAACATGGATTATCACATTTCTATTACTGTTTTGGATGATTATAATTTGACCTACATCCATAGGTGGCCGAAAGAGGGGGCTGACCAAAGGTGTTCAAGTGATGGCACGAACCACTGGGGGGAGTAGGATAGATGGAGTATTCCTGCAGGAGAATAGCCACGCAATTGTGGGCCCTAACCAAAAGTTGTTGAACATAGAAGTTGGTGTCGTTGCTCGTATGATGGCTCCCATAAGGAAGTACTATTGGACTGAGTTAACTGATGAAGATAAACACCCTATTTTTGTGAAACTAGAGGTACGGTAATCTGTCTTTGTTAATTTAACTTATAAATTGCATAGTCTGAATGCATGGAATTTGATGAAATTGCAGAGCGAGTTTGCATTTGTCTCAGCTACTGAAGAGGTTAGGAAGGCTTTAGATAAGAAACTCCACAAACGCTTCTTGAACTACAAGTACACCTGTGATAAACACTACAAGGAACAGGAAGACCCCACCAAATCTCGTCTGAACCCTCGAGAAGGTGTGAAACAGAAAGACTGGGAGGTCCTCTGTGAGCACTTTGAGAGTGATCGATTCAAGGTAAAACTTGCCGTGTTTGGATATTTGATGACACTTGTACAAGATGACAGCTTAGCACACATTTCTGTTTGCAGGGACGGAGCACAAATAACATAAAAAAACAAGGCTAAGCAGTAGTGAGCACTACTGGGGCAAAATCCCACGACCAGAGAGTGTATGAAATGGTAAAGCATTAAGTTTTATTTACTCCTATAACAACCAATCTAAATTTGAATAGATGACCATAAACTAGGGGTAAACAGGCCACTTACCACACCTTTACCGTGTTTGAACATTTGAACTATCATGTATAGGAGCAAAAGAAGCTGGCTGCACAAGCAGCTCAAACGGAGCATGTAGATGACCAGGATGCTGAGGATGATTATGCAGTGTCCGTTGACATTGAGTTGTATGCCAACACACACAAGAAGGCAAGTGATGGTACTTGGGTGAGCGAGAAACCGAAAGCGAATTATGTAAGCCCTTCTGCTCCTCTTATATTGTGTACCTAGTCCATGAACATGAATGAATATTCGATGTATAGATATTGTAATAGGTTTATTGAATTAAGAGGGATCAACAATTAATGTGGTGTGACTATTATGCGCCTCTTGTTGGGTGTAGTGACTTTTATTTTGGTGCAATGTAGGAGGTGATGCTGGCCTCCATGCCCAATCAAAGGAAGATGGGAATCCACTGCTGGGTCGTGACATCGTTTAGAAGGTTTTGCAGAGGAGACTCAAGTATGGACCTAAAGAAGCAGTGAGGAAGTCGGCAAGAGAAGTTCAGCTGGAAGCAGAACTGGCAGCAGCAAAGGCAGAGGTGGAAAGTAAGACCAAGGAGTTGGAGTCCAAGCTGGTAGAGCAGGATGAGAAGATTAAAGCTCGGGATGAGGAGATTGAAAAACATAAAGTAGAGCTTGATCTGCAACATGAGCGTTTGGCTAACCAAGGGGAAAAGATGGAACGAATGCGCCAGGCACAAGAGAAGATGCAAAAGAGTATGTAATCTGTCCTCGCCAATCTCGGCAGGAAATGATTTCACCAGGTACATAACTATTATTCAATGCATGAATTTGATCTATAGAACTTAGTCAATCTGTTAGAAACAATTATGCACGAATGTGAAGTCTCAATCTAGCTTCTTCTCAAATTGCAAGTGCAGGTGTGGACGCATCCATGCACGACCGTGTGTTCATATGACATGAGGAGGTCGTCCTTAGAGAATGTTTTCCTGAACGAATATATTTATAAGTAGTTTTCGGCTGCAAACCCATTTTGGACAATATGGTTGTGTCGAACAGAATGTAGGAGTCTGTGATGCCCTTATCTTACCTCCCACTCCGATACCCAAGAGGAAGTCACTGCAAATCTTTTCCACTCCAATAATTACCGCTTTAGACAGCAAGAAGACAGGCATCCACAACTACGAAAAGCTCCCCTAAATCCATTATTTCCCTTCTTACCCCTTTATGATATGGACCATTAGATCTTGCCTTCCCAAATTACAACCATTGGATTGGGTTTTGTACTGTAACCTGCACATGATTTTATTACATATTTTTTTTGAATATATGATTTAGTGTGTTATTATGCATATTGTACTTATAGTATTATTATTTATGAGGCAATTCATAACCATTTAATACCAATTAAACCATTGTTCTCTTCGTCATATTTACTTTCCTTTAATTATAAAAAATTGATTCTACTTTACTTTTGCATTATCATTTTCTATAGATGATGTATTAGAGAATTAATATATGACGGTAAGAATGATGCGAGATAGGGCACAAATAAGTCCCACATTAAAACCATGCTACTCACAAGTAAAATCAAACGAGTGATGTCCAAATTATCATCCCACTCAAGGTATTAAAATAAACTACTTAGAAGCTCAGTGTATGATCGTCATCTATTTTTATTTTTACTTTTTGTTTAAAGGGTGCAAGCACCACTACCTCGGATTAAGAAATCGAACGGATCGCAAATCCGCGATCAATGCCAGGATTGGTGAACGAAGTACAAGTAGAGCCCAGGTCTAACAGGTGACCCTTGTGAGCTAAGCAATCAATCAGGAAATTTGCCTCTCTGTAAATGTGATGCACCTTTACCTCCCAGTCTCTCGCTTGCAGGTCACGAAAAGCTAGCACAAGGCTAGCGTGCTGGTGACTGGTCGGAGAGTCAGGCGAGAGGAGGTGAATTGCCATCATGGAGTCAAGCTGAAGCTCGACTTTTTTGTGCCCCGCATCCCACGCCATATGTAGTCCCTGAAGTGCACCCCATAGCTCCGCGCTGCGCGAGTGATAGTACATCTCCCCAGGTTCATCGAGTAAGCACCTAGTAAGCGATCCTGCCCATCGCGAAGCACCCCTCCTGCAGTGGCTGACCTTGATGGTTGCAGAACAGAACCATCAGAGTTCACTGTGAGCCATCCTGTCAGGGTCGATCTCCACCTAAATACCATGCCTCGACTCGACCCCAACCTCCCTAGTGTAATAACGTGTTCCGCTGCTTTACTTTTTTGTGAAATGATCTCTCTGGTAGGATCTTTTGCGTAAGCTTACAAGGTGCCTCCTTGATGTATGAGAAGATGTAATCATTCCGCAAACGCCATAGGAACCAACAGGTGAATCCAAAACGCACCCGTGTCTCTGGGCTCGGTAGATAATGCATGAACCAATCCTTAAAGGACCGATGATCTGCGTGGGAGCTCACTGCCGAAGGCAAGCTCAGCTGCCAAACTTCCCTGGCATACATGAAATTCCGGAAAACATGCTCTAGTGTCGCGGCCTCCTGTTTGCAGCACGCGCAGGTTGCTGATGTTAAAACATCCTGATTTTTGGGTAAGGTTGGACTGGTAGTCGAGTTAGTTCGATTCAAGAGAATATTTAATTTAATTAATTTTTATTTTTCTAACTAAGGATAAATAGATTTTAATTAAATTAAATTTAGTGAAAAGAAAAAGGAATTAATTCACAACCCACTGTTACCAAATTCCCACTCCCTCTCGGTGTCTCTATATTCCACCAATTATTCCCTAACGTAACCCGATTCTCCCGTTACCCCTCCCATTACTCCCCAACCCCTCCTTTAATGAGATTAGCTGAGAAAGGAAGAAAGAAGGAGAAGGAAGAAAGAAAGAAAGAAAGAAAAGAAGAAGAAGCAGCGCCAGCAACCTTCCACCGTCGTCCTCGGCAGCTCTGTCGCGTCGCGACCACCTCGCGCCTCTCCCGCTCGATCAGTAGCAGCTTCACGTTGCGACAATCCCGTATCCTCACCAGCAGTGACGACCTAGAAACAGCGGCCGAATTAGCAGCGGCGCCGACCCCGACCTCACGTGTCTGTTGTTTCACGCCAGAGAAGAAGGTGCGGGCAGAGCAAAAAAAAAATAATAATAAAAGAAAGGGAAAAGAGAGGGAAATAAAGGATTATGGGCATTGGTTTTTGCTCGGTAGAGAGTCAGGAATCGTTCCGCGGATCATAATCCAGTTTGGAGATCGTCAAATTCCTCGTCGGAGCTTCATCGGTAAACCGTCAGAGTGTCGTCGGAAAAACCAGAAATATCGAGTTCGACTATACTTCAAAATTTTGATACGGTTGCGTGGAGATTGATTCCAGGAGCGTCACCGTGTCGACAATATGGAATTTCGACGTCGGATGAAGGAGAACCGAGCCTCCGAAGTTTGAGCAAAAATCTGTCAAGTACATGTACCATAGTTGGGAATTCAAAAAGTTAGAGGATTAAATATGTAATTTTCCCAGAGAGTTCGTGGTCAACTATGTTGATTGGAAAATTTAAGTTCCGGTACTTGGTACTTCTAAACTGACAGAATAGTGTGGACAAATAGAATTTAATGAGAGCGATTCATGGAATTTTTAGAGCGGAATCAGAGTCAGTTTCCACGGAAATGAGGTGAGAGTAAAGGGGGTAAATTCTACACATTACGAATTCTTTTAAGTATTATGATTTTAAGTATATAAGCGAGGTGGTTATCGTTGCTTGATTATGTGTATGGTTGATTATATGTGCTTTGTTTGAGCTATAATTTGAAGTGAATGTGTGTTATTTACCTAAGCTTTACTTTAATTATGAGTGATTGTTAAATTTAAGAAACAAGTTCTTTTTAAGAAGTACTTCACCTTCTAAGAAGGTGAAAGAGTTAAATGTTTTAGTCACTAGCGCCAGTCCGTTGCCATTTGAGATTTTCAGACAGAACATCAGTTATGCTCTTGAGATATTTAAGTTGAGCAACAGTTATGCTCTTTAGATTTATAAGATGAGCAGTAGTTATGCTCTTGAGAATCGTGGAAGAAGAGCCTTCCACGATAAGTTTAAGTTTAAGAAAAGCCTGAATGGCTTCTTATACGTATGAGTTGGCAATCGGACTAGCTAGTGAGGGATCCAAGTGTCAGTCAAGAATTTAAGTGGAGATTTGAGCTTTAAGAGTATAGTTTTAAGAGTTAATATTTTTAATAGTGAAAGTACATAATAACTTATACTAAGTTAAGTAAAGTGATCAAGTATTAATAAGATGTTAACGTAAGGGCGTAGGCTGACCTCATCTCACTCACCAGTTTGAAGAGCTAGAGGAGGAGCTAGAGGAGCAGTTAGTGAGCAGTGAGTTCGAGGGTAGCCAGCTAGAGGAGGGCAGTATAAGCGTCACAGAGGATGCTTAGTCAAGGTTTCAGTAGCAACAACATTAGAGATTATTAGTTATTTACATTTATGATTATGAGTATAGACTGGAGATCACTTTGAGATTTTAAGTATTGAGTTTGCCCATGTGTTAGGACGTTGCTTTGGACTACAAGTGTGTGTTTTCAGTATTTTATTTATGAAAATGTTTCCCACTGCAATTTAAGATTTGAGTATTTTATCTATCAAGGGCATTTTAGTAAAAGTAATACCCCAGCGGGTTAGGGTGTTTCAGATGTCGAGAGATTTCGACGCCTCCTTTCCTCGTTGGTCAGCAGAGAGCCTTGCGCCATCAGCCAGAGAAAATGCCGAACGCGGTCCGAGCCCGGCCAACGACACACCTTCGACCAGCCTTCGTGCGCCTCCTCTCCATGGATATCTGCCGCCAACTGATACGCCGACCGAATTGCGAAATTGCCCTTGTCCTCGAGACCCCAAACCACTTCATCTTCTCCCCGGTTCGGGCTTGGCAGAGGCATTCCAATTACCTGCAAATTCACATCCATTGCTAAGTACTGGGAAACTAAATCAAAGTTCCACTGACCTGTTTCCAAAGTCATATCCGTCACTGTTGCTTCCGCAGGGAAGCCTTCCTTGTTTGTCCAAGCATGGTCGCCCAGCACGCAATCTCTGTCCGTCCATTTGTCCGCCCAAAACAAGGTGGACTTCCCATCTTGCACATTCGACCGCAAGCCTGCCAACATAGTACCCCAAACCGGGCGCACCCCTCGCCAAAGTTGAGAGCATCGGGTATGCCGCCGCAACTCCACCCCTTCAGACCCCTCCCTCAAATACTTTTCTTTGAGCACTTGGACCCAGAGTTCATTCAGGGTACTTCAGAATTGTCCAAGCAAGTTTCAGGAAGTAAGCTATATTCATTTCCCTTGTCGAGCACAATCTGAGTCCACCTTGATCTTTGGGTAGGGAAATAGTCTCCCAACTCACCAAATGTATGCGGCGGCGACCTTGCTGAGACCCCCAAACAAACGCTTTGAGTTTTCTATCCAGGTATTCACAAACACTTACAGGAAGCACCGTAGTTTGCATCGCGTAGGATGGGAGTGCATTGAGGACCGAGGTGGCCAATGTCACTCGCCCCGCTAGGGATAGACTATCTGCTTTCTAACTTGCAAGCCGCTGATCAACCTTGTCCATGATATATTTGTAAGTTTGCTTGGTAATGCACCCATGTAGGACGGGAACTCCTAGATACCGACCTAGGTCCTGCGTCATCGGGATTTCTAGGAGATCACTAATGCTCTTGCAAGCTTCCCTGTTTAGGTACTTGGAGAAAAGGACACGCCACTTCTCGCGGCTAACCAACTCTCCCGAAGCTCCGCAGAAATCTTGCAAGCATTCTAGGATCATCTCGGCTTGGCTAAGGATAGCTTTCGCAAACAAAACTAAGTCATCTGCAAAAACGAGATGAGTAAGTTCCACACCCTCTCTCACGAGCTGGATCGGTCGCCACTTCTTCTACTGAGCCAGGTCCTGGATAAGATGAGAGAGTCTTTCAATACACAAAGTAAAGATATACGGCGAGAGGGCACACCCTTGCTCGAGAGCCCTCGTGGGGGTGAATGGCTCCGTACAGTTACCACCCCATAGGATCTCAAACGAAGGTGTGGTGATGCAGCTCATCGTTGCTTGCAGGAACTTGTCAGGAATTCCTGCAGCCACAAGCGTGGTCGCTACAAAATTCCAATCCACCATGTCATACGCTTTAACGAGATCCATCTTAATCACCATATGACCAGTTTTGCCTTTACGTGTCTCCATCGCATGCACCACCTTTTGAAGGATGATGATATTATTCTGGATGTTGCGACCAGGGACAAAGCTCGTCTGGTTCAGTTTGATGAGCTAGGGCATCAACGACTTCAACCTATTGGCCAAACACTTAGTCAAGGTTTTATATGACACGTTGCAGAGGCTAATGGGTCGTAGCTCAGACACAAGAGAAGGGTTTTGCTTCTTTGGGATGAGCATCAGCAAGGATGCATTAAATTGGGCTATAGTCTCTGGGCAATGAAAGCATTGGGCAATGAAGGTAGAGAAATATTCTCCAACTGTTTCCCAGCATCGCTGAAAGAAGATAGGTTGGTAACCATCCTTTCCTATGGCCTTGCAGGAGCCCATAGATTTAATCGCAGTCAGCACTTCCATTGGGTGGATAGCCATCTCCAATGATTCCATCCTTGGATCCAAGTTAAGGAAATAAGCCGGGAGGATGTCAGGTATTGTTGGACAAGGTGTGAAGAGGTCTACGTAAAAATCCCGAACCAGCCCCATGGGTTGCTCGTCCTCTTCCACCCATTCTCCATCATCTAACTTTAACCTCCTGATTTTGTTGAAGCTAATTCTCTTAAGCGTAGACAGATGAAAGAATCTCGAATTGCAGTCTCCCTCTCTAAACCAATGCTTTTGAGACTTCTGGTACCATAAAACTTCCTCCTGTTTTAGAACGTAATGGAGTTGACCTCGAGTAAGCTCCTCTTCCTTTACTCTTTGTGTCGTTGGAGCCTCCTCATTATGCAATTCTAGGCGCTATAGTTTATCCAGCAGCTTGCGTTTTGGGTAGAAGATTTTCCAAACGTACTTCGGTTCCATTGCTCCAGCTCAGCCGTAAGGCTCTACAACCTGTCACCATAAGCCGTCCCTTTTTCCCACCCACTTTGGAGAACACGGTAAAGTCTGAATGGAGCATCCAAGGGTTCAGGAAGCGGAACGACTTAGCTCCTCGGGTACTCTGCCTATGGTGCTCCGAGACAGTGAGAATAGGGCGATGATCGGACTTGACTTTCTAAAGATGGCGAGTGACAGTTTTGGGGTAACTCTGCACCCAAGCCGAATTACACAAAGCCCTTTCCAAACGTTCCTTGAGTCCATTCTGGTCGTACTAAGTGAATTGAGGTCCGGTAAACTCTGTATCCAGTAAGCAGCAGTCCTCCACCGCTTAGCGCAACTCGCGACTAGAGGCCATGTTGAAACTTGCCACACCTCGTTTGTCATCCGGGCTAAGCATCACATTAAAATCACCTATTAGGAGACATGACATGACAATCTGACCCACCAAGCCTCTCATAGTTTCCCATAGCTCTCGCCTGGAGCAGAGTTGGGGAGAGCCATAAACCCCGGAGATCAGAACTTCCTCTCCCGAGCTAAGGCGAAAGTGGAGATGGATGAGTTGGTCCATGGAAAATTCGTCACAAAGAGCGAGATCGCTCGAATTCCACAGAGCCAAATGCTGCCAGCAAACCCATGCGCTTCGACTCGACGGTTACTATCGAAGCCCATTCTACGAATCACTCCTTCAGCATCCCTGCCACTAATCTTCGGCTCTGTAATGAAAACTAGCTGGGGATGATGAATCCTACAAAATTCACGAAATTACAACAAGAAATCAGGGTGAGCATCACCCCTACAATTCCAAGCTAATATACTAACCATAAAAAACAAGAGAAGGCAAAAGCACAAAAGGACACGAGAACTCCCTGGGAATGGGGAGTCTAGGATATCTCCACTTCCATCTCAGACGGCTTTGCCGAGCTAGCCGCTGAGGGGTTCACATAAGAGTCTTGATGCACTCCTTAGGGTATGTCTACACTAGTGTTCATCCAAGCTTCGAGCTATAGGTTTGGAAGATGCTGTGGCATGCCTGGGGGGAGGGGTTTTGGATGGAACGTGCTGTCCCGATGTGTCATTTTTGTCATTCCCAACCTGTTTAAGTGTTTTGCTCTCGACGGTCTGTTTACTACCATTCTTAGACATTTATAGCTTTCCCCCTTGTTTGCTTTTGTCCCCCTGATGGTTGGCTAAGCCTTTATCCTCTCTATGCTCTTTTTTCCTTGTATCCCAGTACTCTCTTTTGCTTTGGGTTGGACACTGGATGCCGCCTTTCCACCTTCCTTGCTTTTCTTTTGCATTTGTGAGGACTCCTTGTTATTCACCACTAAGGTATGCTTCACAGTCTGGTTCTTATTCGAGCCTCTCTCTGACCCCATATTAACCGGACTCGCTCGTGATTCTACTACTAAGTCTGCATATCCATCCGCAGGAGTTACCTCCTCTTCGACTCTCTTGTTGGCCTCTGTCAACACTGTTGTGTGCTCTCTCAATTCATCATTCAGTGATTCGAGAGCCTCGAACCGTGAGCCTGATGGGAAGGACGCTTTCCTAGGAGTGGTTATGGCCTCGGGTCCCACCACTTTGTGATTATTGTTCACCCTTCAACGTCGATTGCTGGCTGCTATCTTCCAAGGCCCGTAATCTTGGAAAATCTCAGGCCGTTCTTCCTCAATATATAGTAGACTTTGATGGGTTAACATGAGCTGTACAGAAATCCTCCTCAGAAGGGGCCTCCATTTTCTTCTTAGGGCATACTTCTTGTTCATGACCATTGATAGACCGTTAGTTACACATGTTTTCACCCCTGTTCTTACACCGTTGGAGATGTGGTTTCTCGTGTTTTTGACCGATTTCACGCTAGGTTGTGCTTGTTTGTGATATTTCAGGTCCTGGCAAGTGAATGAAGGTTTAGGAGCGAGTTCGGGGTCGATTGGGCGAAGATCGGGCACGCGGCAAGTCACAAAGGAGGTCACACGGGCTGCCCTGATGTTCACACGGCCGTGTGAAGGAATGGCCTGGCCGTGCGAGTTTTGCTGAGAGCACACACGGGCAGAGCAGACAATCACACGGCCGTGCAAGTGATCAGTCTGGCCGTGCCACATTCTGCGAGAGCAAACACGGGCAGGAAGGGAAGTTCACACGGCCGTGCCATTCTGGCCGTGCAAAGAGCCTGGAATTCGAACTAATTGGAACGCAGCGTTTTGACTCACACGGGCAACTGGGTAAGCCAGACGGCCGTGCCACCCTGGCCGTGTGAGTCGGGATTTTCTCCTTTTAAGCAGATTTTCAGCCACAATTCGGGGGGATTCGAGTTTTTGAGAGATAGAACGACTTCTAGAGAGAGAAAGTGACGAACAAGAGTCTCCAAGTGCCCTAGATTGATCTTCAACACCATTGGAGGCCAGTTTGAGCTTGGAGAAGTGCTGATCAACATCCAGGAGCAGGAATCCATCCTTCACAGTATGAATTCCGCGTCTGATTCTGCTTTTGCTTCTTTCTCCATGGAGTAGTTCTCCCATTCATCTGGGTATGGAGAACCCTAGATTTGTATGTTAGGCTTTGATTGTATGAACCCAAGTACTGATTCTGTGATTGATTATATTGGATTGAGGTTTTAATGATTGAATGACTTGAATCCTGATCAAATTCCTGTTGTTTCTGCTTTAACCTAGAATGAGAATATCTGCCTAGGTTGATAGAGCACCCTTGATTGAAGGTAGGGAGTTGGTGACTTTAGTCGAGGAGCCAACTCACTATTTTGTACCGGATTTACTCTGGTAGTGGAGGTTTTGTTCTTAGGGCCTCAATCTGTCTACTCCGGTGGAGGTTAGTCGCCCGCTAGAGATTCAGATTGAGAGGGTCTGAAGACCTTTAGTCCAGACTTTAGGCTGTTTAAGAACCTTCCGCAGTATAACTAGCATAGAAACTGAACTTGGTAATTACAATCCGGCTTAACTGCAGACTAGGGGAACCATATCCAGGTGACCTCTCTTAACCTGAATACAATAGTTTACTTGCTTTGTTTGTTTGGTAGTTTAGATTTGCATTCCAGTTTCATTGCTAGATAACAAGAACTCAGTGAGTAGTCATCAAATCTAGGACCCGGGTTGACATATAAACCTAACCCGCTATACTACGCTTTAGGAAGTGGTTTCACTTGGCCAATTCCTAGGGTGACAGTAGAGTCGAGTCAACCATATCTCTCGCACTCAAAGCAAACCTTGTGCAAACCCTCGTACTCAACCCCCCTCGTCCTTCTTTCCAGTCGGTACTTACACACTAAGGGTTTCGCTAGATTGACTTCCACACAAATTCTGGCAAAGTATCCTCTCGTGGCTTGTCTAGTAGCTTCATCCATCTTGATATATCTTCCCAAGGAGTTCACGATATTCCTCAATAGTTCCTCATCATAATAATCCATTGGAAGCTTGGTGAAGCGTGCCCATACAAGCATGTGAGACAGTTCCTGCTCACCCGGTTCAAAACCTTGATGCCATGTCCTCGTAAGGACATAGTGATCTTCAATCATCCAAGGCCCGCCATTCAATGCCCTAGCATAGTCGTGTTCAGTAGAGAACCGAGCTTAGTAAAAGCCTTGTCCCATTGTCGCTATTGTCACTGAACCAGTGCATGCCCACATAGTTTGGAGGGGACGTTGGATAAACAAGAATGGGAATGAGTGTCCCAGGACCCGGACGATGATGGCCATGCGCCATCGCTGGCCTCGACGGTGGTTAAAATCTTTTGGGATTTTAACTTTGGGACAGTCAGGCTCCCTTTCGTTGTCACTGTCCATGAGGACTTCCTCATCATTGTCCTCGTTCTCTTTCCCGTTCACGTCCGACTGCTCTGCTCCCTTTCCAAGAACCGTATCCTTGTAGGATAGAGGTATACCTTCTTGGGCAGTCGGCGGTACCTGCGATGGTATCATCTCCCCATTGATAGAGGTTGGATGTTCACCCGCTCCACTCACATCTTTGTTGTTCTCATATGGATACCTGCATTCTGAAGCAATCAGTGGTTGTCCCTGGTCCAACAGCATCGGACCCTTACCCGTAACATCTGTATCACTCTGTGTTTTCGGACGTTTAGAAACTTGCACCGGTGAGGATAAAGGCTCCCCACTAATCTGTTGGCTTAAGGGCTCCAGCGGAGCCACCAGCTTCTCGCCGGCGTCGCTCATACGATTTGAAACAAAACCCTAGGATTCCTCGCGATCACCTTTGGAGATCCTCAATTCTCGGAGCTATTAAGCGAGCAATAGAGAGGATATGATCGTCATCTATGCATATAAATTGATTGCTCTATCGCTTGTCCTACCATCCATATAAAGAGATTCTCTCGCATAACCCACTCCATCCTACTTTTCCTATGTTGTGCACATAGTGCGGATGGACCCGTAGGTCTTTTCCCAATAAACCTAATTAAATAAAAACGAGACATATTATTAGGATACAATTAAGTAAGTAAAGAAAACTTATTTGCTCCACCTATTCCCGAAAACATATAACCACATGTTATAAAAAAAAACATATAACCACATATATATGATCGTACGTATTTTATTCGTTTAAAACTTTCATATCCGTATTATTGTCGAGGTGTTTCGTTTTTCCCGTTCATTTGATGACTCCAATACTAAACACGTATAAAATCCGTATAACACTTTAATATCATATATACTGAATTAAATTGCTAACTTAACTATTATTTATATACTAATTTATTTTTAGAATAATTTATTTTATATATTTTATAACTATTGACGTACTATTAAACGTATCATTAGTTTATAAACAAAGTAAAATACCCGTATGTATTTTATACGTAACTTACCCGTATCGTATTTTACTAACTATGCGAGTTAGTCCTTATTACGTGTTAGTTAATCATAATTCATTTGTTCTTATTTAAATACTAATTTTTTAATAAAAAATCCAATTATTTATACTCTCAAAATTATACCCATTCAGACATATTTTAGAACAAAAAATATGTTAGTCAAGCAACCTATAACATCATATATAATAGCATTCATGTATTATCAATTCTTCTACAGTAGTACCAGATCTATAGATCTCAAGTCCAAATTTGTTAAGTAGTATCTAAACAAAACAAAACAAAAAAACCTATATCACCCTTATATATAAAAAAGTACTCAATCCGTGGGGTAGGTCCTTACCGCGTTCTCACAATCAATTATTCGTTAGATTATTATGAAACTAAGTCACACCTTGCTTATTGGACTTTGACGAAGCTCTCAATATGCCAATCAATCTTGAATCATGATACTCTCAACTAAATTAAGTATTTACAAAATTAAAAATAATACCACCAAAGATAGAAAATGACATTCATGGCAGGTTTGATTGTTCTCATCATCGAACATTCAACTTTCGAAAGTCATTTTTAAAAAATGGGCAGTAAAATCAAAAAATATATAAGAAAAAAAATAAAAGTATCTATTGGAGAATAGTCAATACTCCTACGGGTTATCATGAACTTTCAATCTATAGATTATCAAAATTTATGTTGGTCGCTGTGTTGTTTATCAGTGTCAGGGAAAATAACCAATATCCTAAATGTTCTTGACTCGAATGACATAAATTATTTTGCGCGTAATGTTTAGTGTTTCCAAACATTTAACAATTAAAGATTGGTTTTCAATGAAATGCAAAAAAGAAGAAGAAGAAGGAAGAACATATAGTGAAGATAAAGTTTTCATTAAGGAAGACGAAGGTATTGTAATTGGTCGAGATGATGTTGCTTTTCATGGCAGAACGATCACAACAAATTTCTAATTTTGAGATTAATAAGCTAGCCTACTGTATAAGATAATAAAGTTGAGTATCATGGTTGAAAAACGAGACATAATCTCTTACATCGAGAGTTTACATACCTCCACGTTAGGAATGAGTCAACGTTGATAATTGAACAACCATTATATTTTTGCCATAAATTTTCAACATATGGCTATGGGAGATATAACAAACTGTCAATAATTAGTTATTAAACATTTTAATTTAGAAATATATATTGTTTATGACAATGATCAAAATCATTGATTGATTGTTGACTACAAATATTAAATAGTAGGATGTTACAACAAAACAAACCATTTCGAAGATTCGAATAATAAGGTAAAAGGATAATTTGATTTTACATAAACATAATTGGTGTGATCAGAAGGTGATTTCATGAATTGAAGCAATATTCTCCGCATAGTATTAAAAAGACAATCGTTAACGCAGATAATTATGATTGCCATCCACTGGGGCGAGTGTGGGTAGCATGGGATGAGGAAGTGCAGGGGTCTATACTTTGTACAGATGCAAACTTCATCCATGCTTTAGTGTCAGTTTCTCCCAAGGTTCAGTTCTTCTTCACAGCAGTATATGCATCAAACGACGAGGCTGAGCGATCAGCAACTTATGGTAGACTAAGGAAATTGAGAGTCAGAGGTTTTCCATGTGTGGTATGTGGTAATTTTAATGCCATCATCAACCATTTGAGGCGTCTAATATGGGACCTGTTACACCAAGCATGAGTGCATTCAGAGATTGGATCACAGAGATGGAGTTGATTGATCATCAGGCATCTAGCTCGTTCTTTACTTGGACAAATCAGCAGAGTGGGAATCCTATTGCGAGGAAACTTGACAGAATATTGGTAAATGTAGATTGGCTTGATGGTTTTCCAGATAGTGTGGCTGAATTTCTTAATCCATCTTTCTCGGACCACTGTGGGATGCTCGTAAGACCCAGTAGACCTAGGAAATCATTCCCAAAACCTTTTAGGTTTTTTGAGATGTGGATGCAACACCCTTCCTATGATGTCACAGTGACTGAAGTATGGAACCAGCAACTACAAGGCCCAGTTCTACAGAGAATAAAAAGGAAATTCCAAATGTTAAAGATAGAACTTAAGAAGTTAAATAGACAAGAGTTTATGAATATTTCAGATAAAGTGAAGGCGGCTAATTCCAACTTGGAATTGGCTCAGGCTCAAGCTCTTGAAGATCCTACCCCTGTCACTTTTGAACGAATGCATCTTCTCACTGAGGAGTTGCAGTACTTACGAAGAGCAGAAGAATGCTTCTATAGGCAGAAATCTTGTATTAATTGGCTTGCACTAGGTGATATGAACTTAGCTTTCTTCCATAAGGCAGTAAAGATAAGGCAGGCGTGCAAGCAACTGAGGAGGTTGATCAGTAACTCAGGGGCTGAAATCACGAATGAAGAGGAAATTGTAGAGGAGGCAGTGGGATTCTATAAGAATATGTATGGTATAGTGAATCCAGAAGTTAAACTAGATTCGACAGTCATTGGATCTTTTATAAGGAAGCAGGTTAGTGAACAAAGCAAACACGTGCTATGTGCTGAAGTAACTAATGAAGAAGTAAGAGTTGCACTATTTGCTATGGATCCATTGAAAGCTCCAGGCCCTGATGGGTGGACATAAGCTTTTTCCAGAAGCATTGGAGTTTAATTGGCGGAGACATCTGTGATGGAGTTAAGGAATTTTTCAGAACAAAAACTTTGCCTTGAGGTATGAATACTTCATCTCTTACTCTTGCCCAAAAAACATTGAATGCTGACAGAATGACAGCCTTCAGGCCTATAGCGTGCATTAATGTACTCTATAATATAATTGCAAAAGTATTAAAGAATAGAATACATATTGCACTTCCTGAAGTGATAAGTAGAAATCAATCAACGTTTGTTAAAGGAAGGAGTATTCTAGACAACATACTAATGGCGCAGGAGATGGTGCAGAACTATAATAAAATTAAGATTGCTTCTCGCTGTGCAATTAAAATAGATATGCATAAGGCTTTCGACTGGGTTAACTGGGAGTATTTAATCTGTGTGATGATGCAAATGGGTTTCCCAAGCGAGTTTATTGAGTGGATAAAGGTTTGCCTCAGTTCTGCATATTTCAGTATCAACTTGTATGGTTCATTGTTTGGTCTTTTCCAAGCTCAGAAAATGGTTAGGCAGGGAGATCCTCTCTCTCCCTACCTCTTTACAATTGTCATTGAACCTCTCTCAGGTATGCTTGATTTTGCAGCAAGTTCTAAAAGGATCCCTTACCATCCTCAGTGCCGATCGATAGGTCTGACACATCTTTATTTTGCTGACGACCTGTTGATCTTTACCGAGGGATCAACAGCCGCTCTGATGAAAATAAGGAATTTATTGAATGAATTTTACTTGTTATCGGGGTTGAGCTGCAACCCGCAGAAGTGTGAGGTATTTTTTGGTGGACATGCGCATTTATTTAAGCAGAATGCTATTGAGTGGTCTAGTTTTGCAGAAGGGAAGTTACATATGAGATATCTCAGACTTCCACTGATTTCAGGACGGTTGTCTAGTAGAGAATGTGAAGTCTTGGTGGACAAGTTAATAGGTTGAATCCGTTCTTGGCAGGCCAGTAAGCTCTCTTATGAAGGGAAGCTCCAGCTAATTTCTTCTGTTCTTTACTCACTTGTGCAGTTTTGGATGAACATATTCATAAAATCTGTTCAGATTTTCTGTGGCATGGTGAAGGCACTGACCGAGCAAAAGTAGCTTGGGAAATTGTTGTACTGCCTAAAAAGGAAGGTGGAATGGGGTTGAAGGATTTGGGAAGTTGGAATATGGCATGTGTGGCTAGACTGTTGTGGTTAATACTAATGAAGAGTGAGAGTTTCTGGGTTGCGTGGATACAACGATATAAACTGAAAGGGAGATCTAATTGGGACATCCCTCTCTCTCAGTCAGGGTCATGGATCTGAAGAAAAATGCTTAGCTCAAGAGGATGGTTTCAGTACAGATTTGCTGTGGATGCTGCAGGTGAGGTGCTCTGGGAAGGGAAGCTGATGCCACTTTTTTGGTGCAGCAGTTGTGGTTGTCGATCAGACCATAGAGGGCTAAAGTGGATTGGTAGAAAATAATCTGGAATAAGTTTGTGATACCTAGAAACAGGGTTATTGCTTGGTTGGTAATATTGAACAGGATCACCACGATGGACAAGCTCAACCAATGGGGGAGGATCTCTGACTCACTGTGTGTTTTATGCAAGGCCGAAGAAGAGACCCGAGCTCATCTTTTCTGCACCTACTCTTATGCTTTAGAGTTTTTTGCAGCGGTTTTTGGCTCTAGTTGGTGGTCAATGAATTGGGATGCCCTCATGAACTAGATTCGAAGACGAAGCAATAAGGCAGCAAGGGTTTGGTTTGGAGTGCAATCTGGTGCTGGTGTATTAGTGCAGTATGGAAAGAGAGATGCGCTCGGATTTTTAAGGGAGAGCAGCAAACTGTGGAAGAGATTACAAGGCAATGGATAGCTGAATTTAACTACTTTGTCGTGGGAAAGCCAGAGTTCTAGCTGGAAGATCAGAAGATTTCTCACTTAAGTGGTCTATTGTATTCAGAATAGAAAGTTTGAAAGTTGTTTTGTTTTTGTCTTTGTACGCATAATAGTAGAGCATAACTCTTAGTTTTTTGGAGGACCCTGTTTTGTCAGGCGGAGCTTAATAAAATGTTCGATAATTATCGGAATTTTTTTTATCATTAATGGAGATGAAGACATTATTGGTGGAGATGATGATGTTGCTCATGGCGGAGGGAACAAAAACAAGTAAAAAAGAAAACGTTCAGTAATCTCAAACGAAGATGATCAAATAGAAGAGTGATTTGAAAAATGTCTTTAGGAGTCGGTTCCTTGCATAGGGTTTGTCTTTCATTTTCATAAGAAGATTTTAGTCTATAAGTTATTAAAATGTTCGAAAACAGTGTGATGTTGATCCTTTTGAAATTTTTAAGTATTTTGATAATTTTGATTCTCTCATTTGACAAATTGTTATAATACTATCAAAAAATGTGTATCTCGCATATAAATTGTTACGGTTTTTATGTGATTGCGGCTGAATCCGACCAGGGCCTGTGACTAGTTTATATATTATACCAATTACTTGATGATGAGGGTTATTAGGCTTCTCCTTCCATTTCTGACTAATTCATTAACAGGTTGTTTACCACTAAAAGTCCGGATCCTTGCCGAACAACACTGGTGCAGATTCATCATTACTGGTACATATTAACCAGACTGGACCACCTTTACTTCCTTTTTGCATCAGTACTACTGTCCTGACTAAGATAATTAAGGGGCTTGCTATTTGCCGCCAACCAAATTGCTATTTGCCGCCAACCAAAAAAAAAAAAGTATATATATACATCTTTGGTTAAGGAGTTTCACAATCTACAACATATCCAACTTTCAGAGAACGTATTGAATCAGAAAAATTCAACGCTCCCCGGAAAAGTCGCCGGAAAATCATCGATGAAAAAAAAAAGTATATATATACATCTTTAGTTAAGGAGTTTCACAATCTACAACATATCCAACTTTCAGAGTACGTATTGAATCAGAAAAATTCAACGCTCGCCGGAAAAATCGTCGGAAAATCATCAGGAAAGCCTATCCTTGACATATACTGCGTACACGCATCCATGAATCATCACTAACCATCAGACAATATGAGCAAAGTGCTACACGAACCATGTGTATCAAACCCTAAATCCTAAACCCTGAACCCTGAACCCTAAACCCTGAACCCTGAACCCTGAACCCTAGACCCTAAACCCTTGGTGGTCGGCAACGAGCCAGGCAGAGAGACCCCCGAAGAGCTAGGGGAAGGGGTAGGGGTAGGGGTAGGAGCAATGCATAGTGTTGCAATGCTCTATTTATATGTTGTTGTTTTTCTAGTTGTATTTTTAATGACCCTAGTGTCATTATGAACTTATGGATTTTGTTGATATGACTTGAATCGGACTATCAGCCGCCCACGGTATATGTTCTCAATGTTATTTGGGTTCGGGTTCTGGGCCTGGTCTGTAACCGTTTCCTTTGCCAGATTGGATTAGGTTTAGACCCACATGGAGAAGTACTATAAATACTTCTCATACTCCTCTGTAATCTGTAATCTCCTTGATATAGTGAAACTGGCTCTCTCTCGCCCGTGGACGTAGCTAACACACATCGTGTTAGTGAACCACGTAAATCGTGTGTCTGTGTTTTCGATACTCGCTCTCGTATTCTTGCTTTGTCGATTCCTGCGATTTCTCGATCCGTAGCAGCGCGTTTATAACAGATTTAATTATGGATTTCGAGCGAGTTCGGGGTCGATTGGACGAAGATCGGGCGCGAGGCAAGTCAAAAAGAAAGCCACACGGGCACACACACAACTCACACGGCCGTGTGAAGTTGCACTTTGGCCGTGTGGAATTCTGCGAGGCTTCACACGGCCAGGCTGGGTGAGCTACACGACCGTGTGAAGTTGCACTTTGGCCGTGTGGCTCTCTGCGAGGCTTCACACGGCCAGGCTGGGTGAGCTACACGGTCGTGTGAGGTGAACTACACGGCCAGGCTGGGTGAGCTACACGGCCAGGCTGGGTGAGCTACACGGCCATGTGAAGTTGCACTTTGGCCGTGTGGAATTCGGCGAGGCTTCACAAGGCCAGACTGGGTGAGCTACGCGGCCGTGTGGGAAGCCTGAAACCCAATTACTCGGGCCGAAAAAAATTTGCGGCCGGTGCGCCGCCGAGCCGAAAAAAATTTGCGGCCGAGGCGTCGCCGGGCCGAAAGAATTTTTCGGCCGGCCGTCGCCCCGGCCACAAATTTTTTTCGGCTCGGCGGCGTTCGGGCCGCAATTTTATTTCGGCCCGCCGTGTTTTTCTCAGGAAAACTGGAAAACTTACTGGAAAACTGGAAAACTAGCCGGAAAAAGTAAACTTACTTGTTTTTCGACGATTGAGGGCGACGGGAGGTTAGCCGACGACGGAAGAACGGTGCCGGCGACGGAGGCACTGGGAAGGAAGGGAAAATTCAAAATTTAAATTCATTTTTTTTTAATTGGCAGCAAATAGCAATTTGGTTGGCGGCAAATAGCCGTTCACATAATTAATATGCGGCAGACGCGCCCAAGCTACTGTCCTCAAAATGATTACCAAATAACACAAAAGTACTAACTGCTTATAATGGAGATTGACTGAATTGTATTTTCCAAACTGCGAATTTTTAATGGATGTTACTTATACTAATTCCATGCTACTTTCGAAAAAACTACTGTTCAGTTTAGTTCATGTGTATGAGAAATTTTCCGATCAATTTTATAGACGGCTTCTTATCACCAAAAATTTGAGATTGTATAGATTTAATCTATCTATCTATATCTATCTATCTATACTAAATATTATGGCTATTCAAAAATAACTTTGTGCCACATAAGCACTTGGTGAATGCACAAGTTGCCAAGGTGGACAATTTTATTTTCAAACAAAAAATTATTTATTGATCTATTTATGAAGTTGTCTCTCTCTTATTTTAATAATTCTACTCATTTTTACTAAAATTAAAATAAGTTAATTTTTTAGAAACATTTAAACAAAAAACACAGACCTAAGTAATAATAAAAAATTTCGATTAAACAAACTATAAAGATGGAAACAGAGAGTGACATATATTGTATTTATTTAACCCAAACTGATTAAATCTGATTAAGTAAATTTTTTACTCATTTTTACTAAAACTTAATAATAAGTTATATTTTGATGAAGAAAAAAAACAAGACCACATATAAATATTAATATTTTTCAATACAAAATATAAACGATGATCTAAGAGAAAATAAACGTTTGACAATCGATCGACTTTGAGAAATGAACGATATGACTATATGTTTTTTGCTATCAAACACTCACTTCTTTCTTATGTATATACCTATCAAATAAAACAAGTATAAATTATATAGCAAAATGTCTGAATATAAACTTGACAGAGCAATAATTGTTATTTTTTTAAAAAATTCTTATTCATTTCGATTAAATGAAAACATATTAATTATTAATGCAAACTTTTAATTTGTTTATATCCCTTTCCCCATTTTGATTGTCTCTCTAGAAATAAAATCCAACATTGAAAATAAGAAATCAAGAAAGTATGTCAACCACCATAAAAACAAGGGTTAATATTTTCCTATGGCCTAAACTTTGACCAAAATAAACATCCTGGCCAATCTTTTCGATCTATAACATTCTGGCCCGAACTATACACCAAAATAAACAATTTGGCCAAACCCGATGTTTGACCGTTAACTTGGACGGTCAAACACGTTGACTAACGGTCTACGCGCCATGTCACTGCCAAGTCAGAAGATCTGATAAATATTTAATTTTTTTCGTTTTTTATTTTTGGTTTAACTAAGGTATTAGATGATTTTTTTTAATTTATAATAATTTAAAATTAGGGAATGTGTGGAAATTGTGAATTATTTTAAATATTTTATGCTGACTTGACAATGACATGGCGCGTTGACTAACGGTCAACGCGTTTGACTGTCCAAGTTAACGGTAAAAATTCGGGTTTGGCCAAATTGTTTATTTTGGTGTATAGTTCGGGCCAGGATGTAATAGATTGAAAAGATTGGCCAGGATGTTTATTTTGGTCAAATTTCAGGTCATACGAAAATAGTAACCCTAAAAATAACCAAAGCCCTCTTATTAGTTGCTAATTTTTTTGAGATTTCTAATAATTTTATTCTCATAATTTATAGAGAAAGAACTGGTAATGCATACGATTTTTTTTCTTTGTATGAGAATATGAGGTAGAAATTATACGAGACAACGATAAGATGACAAAATTTTGAGCAGTTATAACATATTTTTGCCTGTTGACGAAAAAAGTTAATATGATCATTGTGAAGATGAGGTGAACCAAGCCGAGGGTTGTCGACTGCTCCCTCCTCCTCCTTGATCTGAAGCTGGCAACTGGTCTCACTTTCTCAGCGATATGTTATTGTTTGCGGTTGACTGGCCGAGTTATACTCTTTTTCCCATTCTTTTCTTAATTTCTTCCAAATTACGACTGGTGGATGGTAAATTTTCCCACTCTCGATGAGTGAATATATTTCTTCTTTGTTTTTTTACTGAGAAGGGTTGCCATATACTTTCATGTATATAAAATATAATTAGAAGGGTTAATTGGTTGGACTTAGGGCATACCTCCTTTGGTTGAATAATTGATCATTTTTCTTGAATGCCTATTGCAACCCGATTTCTTGAATGTTGAAATTGAAAGTAGAGTTGTGATGATTGTTTATTATATTTTATGTTAATGATTGACATGCTACTTCTAGCTAGCTATACAATGATGATCTGGTTAGTAATTAGTAGGTAGCAAAGGGGTTATAAGTAGAAGGGAACATAATTGGGATTTTATAAATGCCGCGAAGAAGAAAGACAATGATAATGGTGGTTTTTCGGTTGTCTATTTCGATGATTTTTTAATTTCTACATGTTTGCGGTGACATTTGTTTGTTTCATTAAGGTGAAGTTTTCTGCATTGAATCCCTAACTAAAGATTGATTTTGACATGATTGTTTTCTTACAAACTACTATTTGGATTGATGCATATATTCAGTTCACAGATGAGGAATCTGAATGATAAAATGAGTTGAGTTGTATTGAAGACTGCTCCTTTCATTATTTGTCTATGTTGTTATTAGGTAATAAAGCATAATTCTTTTCTGCAGGAGATATGTAGCTCTCTACAAAATATAAATTGTGTTTAATTATATGTAGTTTAATTAATTTGCTGATAATATTGATTTAATAAGTTAGTGACAGCTGATAGTTTTGTTTGTGGTTGGTTTTGCTAGAACATTTCAAGCTAATTAAACAAAGACGTGGAAGATTGATGGACGTGGATGCTAATGAGTTTCCTCATTATTCCAAAATTGTATGTGTAAGTGATAATACACGATATTCATGGGATTTAGATCAGAATATTCTCTATTATCATATACCGACATATGAGAAGGGAGAGAAAATAAAAAGCTCTTCGCTTATTTTTTTTTATTAATTGAAGTACATTTTCTTATTCTAACTTCTTCTTTTGTGGCCGTAAGTTTTTTAACTTCTTTATCACAATTCTGTGCTAAAGAATGAATAATCTCTTATGTTTATAATCTTAAAGGGCGAATTCGATAAAAACAAATTCTAAATCAATAAAGAACTGTCTACAAAGAGCTCAGTTAATAAAATTAAAACGTTCATAAATAAACAAAAGGCATAAAAGTATGAAATAATACCTGAAATAAGGTAAGTGGGATTTACAATTCCATGTTATTACCTTAGCAAACATAAATAATAATAACAATTAGAATACTATAACGAATTATAAAACAACCAAACAAAATACACCGCACAATGGGCGGGTAAAAAACTAGTTAAACTAATGAACGTTCAGTGTTAAATGATAACCGAATGTTTTTTTATAGTTACATGCATGTTATCATAACCATTTCAATGTTAATTGTTAATGCAGAAAAAAAGAGGTGGGAACACTGGCGGATCCAGGGGTGGCCACCCCAGGCCCCGGTCTAGTCCTTCTCTGGATCCGTAGTTTCTATAGTCCTTATGAAATTTTTGATTTTAGACATCTGAGTCAGTGTTATTCTAGGATAAGAATGGGATTAACTAGAAAAATTATCAAGTTGAACATATTCAAATCACTACTCTAAATTTAGCCTAGAAATTTTAGCCCCAAAGATTATGCGTCTAAGAAAAACAATGAAACCTAAAATTCTAAAATGTTTAAAATGTAAAAGACTAAAAGAAATATTAGGTTTGTTCCCTTAAAAATTTACTAAAGCAGCTGGTGTGCAGGGATGGACACACAATGCAAATTGATTAGTCGATTGATTTATCTAGTGTTGATGCTGCTCGTTTCAACAACTACTAAGAAGAGAACATTTTCAACAATGAAACATGTGATAACTGATTTGCTCAAAAAAATTAGCGATGAATTTCTCGTCGATTGCTCAAGTATTTTATTTGAAACAGTGTATAGTATTGGTATGGATGTAGACTCCATTATTGATGCATTCCCTAAATTAAAATACAGTCGTGTACAATTTACATTGCAAAAAACTATAATCATTATATTTTTTCACGGTTCTAATTTTCTAATGAAATGCGGCCCAGTGCTCTTCTGTGTTCTGGATCCGCCGCTGGGTGGGAACAAACAAATAAATGGCAGCGAGACCATAGTACATACGTGTCCTTATTTCCCTTGTCTATCAAAAAGCAAGGAAATGGTTATACGTCAAAAGAGTAATTCATCGGACCAATGAGAGTGAGCCAGCTTTTAAGGTAGGCAAATCGCCGTCCCCGATTTGACATATTGGTAGCCGAAGAGTGGAAAAACGCATTAAATCCCGGCCCAACCACCCATCAACCAACTAACCGGCCGACCCACGACCGAAACCCATCCTCTGCTTTTCCCTATATAAACCCTCCTCCGGGAGCTTCAACATTCACTCACCCAGCAATCTTCTCTCGATCGAGCAGCTTTCTAAAACACAACACCTTTCTCTTACCTTACACTTCTCGTAGTCCTTTTTTGTTGTGAAGAATGGCCGGTGCAGCAGCGAAGGTGGTGTCGATGGTCCTGGTGTGCGCCTTGGTGGCAGCTCCATACATGGCGTCGGTGGATGCCATAACATGCGGTCAAGTGGCGAGCAACCTGGCTCCATGCCTGGGTTACCTGAAGGGCCCTGGGCCCGCCCCCGTCCCGGCGGGATGCTGCAACGGGGTGAAGGCCCTCAACGCTGCCGCCCAGACCACACCCGACCGCCAAGCTGCTTGCGAGTGCTTGAAATCCACCGCCGGCTCAGTCGGCGGCATCAACCCCGGCAAGGCGGCTGGCCTCCCCGGTGCCTGTGGCGTCAACATTCCCTACAAGATCAGCACCAGCACCAACTGCAAATCGTACGTTACGTTGTTATTTTTTATTGTTAGCTTTCAACCTTCCATGCTCTAGTTGTTAATATGTTCTCTGGTTTTCTTTTGGCAGCATCAAGTGAAGCATACGTGTAAGCGAACGTGAGCAGGGAATTAAGTGGCCATATTAGGTTCTGCGCTAATATAGTTATTATCAATAATAAAATGTGGTACGAGTCTAGTATGTACTGTGGTGGCTCTTCATTGTCTCTCCACTGGTCTATGGATCGTCTGTGTTTTGTTTTAGTTTTTGTGTTTTGTAACGTGTGACCACTTTATATGGTCAATGCCACGTACTTTTATGTAATGAAACGAAAGTGGCGAGCGGTATGCATATGCCACTTCATTATCTCTTTATTATCTACACAATCACTATTGCCTAGCCACTAACTACATCAAATTAACCTCTCGGGCTTGTGGTGAGGCTAATTAGTAACTAATCTCCAGACTTCTTCCGGATTTATACTACAGACTGTATGCATGTAAGACTTACCAAGGCACTGAACAATATATATAGCACCTGGTACATTTGGACATTTAGTATGTAACCTACAAATGAAATTATCATTGAGATTAGGGGTGGTCAATTGATAAACTAAGTTGAAATCGAACCTTTTGAGGTTTGAAATTTATTAACCGTGAAATAAAGTTGGTTAACCTAACTGATTGAGTTAAGAAAAAAAAAACACACACACACTTACTAGCCATAAGCAAAGTCATATTGGTTTCATTAAATAGTTTATATAACCAATATAGAATCATATAAATATTAACATAGACTCCTTATGACTTATCACTCTACAATTAAATCTAAATTTTTTATTATTACAAAATCAGATACTTAATAGATTTAACTATTCACTAATGACATTGAATAGTTTGACCATTGTACCCTTCTTTAGCAATTGTCTGAGGTTATTAATAATGAGGACTTACTGCCCTACAACATCTTTACATTAAATATCACAAACTATCAAAGGAGAAATAGGAGCTGAAAACTGCGCTATAGAATTTGCAATCCTTTAAACAAGCCCAACGGAGAATTCTATCATTTTTATCCACTTGCACGACTACCATTCTTTTGCATATTAATCACATGGCCTTCACTGGATTTTGCGTATTTATTTTAAGTAATTGGCGATTTTTTGTGTTTATTTATAAACCGTGCATTGGTTTTGTTTGTTAGGGACAATTTGGTTGGAAATGGAATTGGGAATGGAGTAATGGGAGCTGTGGCAGAGAGGAAAGAACAAAAGGAAGCTTTTATTATTTTAAGTTTGACCTTATTTCACTAAATAGATTAGGGCCCGCTTAGTAGTAGGATGAATTACACATCAATAGTATAAATAATAATAATAATAATAATAATAATAATAATAATGACTGGAATAAATTTATAATTTTATTTGATTCCGTGAAAAGTCTTAAATTATTTAATTACTGAAAATATAAAAAACTACATACAACATAAGTTTTCTGACATCTTAATCATTCATAGAGAAAGTACTTATCAAAAGTAAAAAAACACAACTCATTCAATGGAACTAATTCCTAACAAAATTAATAAAAAACATTGTTGAAGCTTTTACATTCACCATCATTATTCTCTTCTTTTTTTCTCCCACAATTTATTGAAAACCAAACTTTAATGGTGAAATGTTTGGAAATTAAATGTTGCTAGTATAATTTTCCCATCCAAGCAATAAATATTATCAATCATTTGCTCTTTCCTATTTTTTAAATTTATGTATCCTCCATCTACAATCTCTTCATTCTTCCAAATAACGTCATTATCTCTACATCATCGGATTCACTACCTTCACTATTAACATAATCTTTCTCTTACTTACATTTCAATGAAAGTACGAATTTAGTGGCAAAATATTTACATTGTCAAAGACCATTTTCAAGCTTAAATTTATCATGTCCATGTCATAAGCTTGATCTGAAAATTTAAAATCATTCCCTTAGTTTGTAGACATGAGGATGTGAATATTCTCTGGAGTAATTTCTTGATAGGATTTCCCGAAAACCCTAGCCCCTTGTGATCTGAAATAATAAAATTAGATTCAACAATGTTGTTTACAACTCAATATTAAATCCTTAATTTATAAAATAATAGCAATCGAGACACTATTTGATTGAAAACTTTACATTTTAGTGGGTATTGGGTAAGTCTTTTCACGAATGAATGAATTTGAATTTGAAATTGAAATGAAGAGAAGAGTTAAACTGTTACCTAAGTATTGTTGTCTTTGATGTCGTATACTTATTATAAAATTACTTATCATAGTTTTCTTCAAAGTATTCTTGAACAGATTTCAAGTAATATGATTTTTAACCCTAATTTTTTAAAGCATAGTTGAAATGAAGAAGATAGTTTGTTGAATTTGTGGAAAATTGAAAAACTATTAAGTGTAACTCTTGAGATCCGTACTAGCAAAGGCCATCACTCTTGAGACCTGTGCTAGCAAAGGCGATTGTAATTATATTCCCAATCATCCTCACCCTTGTCAATTACCATTAATGCGTTGGTCTTTTATTTTATATAATATCTATTGGTAATATTAATAATATACCAAATATCAATTAAAGTGTAGAAAAGCGAAACTATTTTTTACGAGGATTGTTTGGAAGTTGCAATTGTTTTAGTAAAATTGTTACTATATATGTATTGTTTAGAATGTATTATATATTTTTTTAATTCTTTGTCAGAAACAATACATGTGATTATTGAGTTGAGATTATTTTGTCTGACTTTTTAGCTGATGTGACATACACAATCAAATATATCAAACGTTGTATTTTACAATACATAAAATTCGACAATACATGTATAATATTATACATGCAATCACAACAATACGTCTATTTAATTAACAATCGCAACTTCAAAATGACTCCTAAAAGTCAGGTGTTTTAATTGAAAGGGGAGCTTTCTTATGTAAGTAGACAAAACTATCCTCCCTAAATTTACTCAGAAGATTCAAATTTAGCATTTAACATGTTTTTTTTGAGAACCTCTTTATATTAGTATTAGGATTCATTTCATCGAGTATGTCCTTTTATAGGCGTTTAATAGAATCCAAAAAATGTGGATCTCTTTACGATAGCCTGTGAACAACCACTGTTGTGTGGTTCTAGATTTTTTTTTTTTATCACTAAGAAGCATTAATTTGACAGCTCTTCTACAGTTCTACTACCTTCTTGACTGATATCTCACATTCGATCTATAAGTTAGCAAAATTTATGTGGTTAGCTGTCCTATTAATTAGCAAGAAATTGGAACCACAAATGAGAGATTGGCTCCGCCTAATATGCGTATATATTTTTATCCAATTAGCCTATAAAAAATCATCTTGTACGTAATTTTTTCTAGAAATTTTTCTTTTGTACCCAATTAGGTCGGATTCGGGTGGATATTCATGGTTATGGATATTTTTGCCATCTCTGCTTCTAATCACCAGCCTTGGAACTGCATCATTGTCTTATATCTTATGCATAAGGAGGCTTCTGGAGTGTTGCTTCCTTTCCACCCTATGTGCAAGAGGCTTAATCTTACCCATTTAATGTTTGCTGATGATATGCTTCTGCTCTTTGATGGTTCAAACTCTGGTCTTCAGACAATCCAATTAATTTTGGATGACTTTAGCTCCCTTTCTGGTTTGGTGTCAAACCCATCTAAATGTGAATTATATTATGGGACATTACCGTTGTATTGGCAGAAGCCGATGATTGAGAGGGCTGGTTATAAGTTGGTTTCTCTTCCTGTTCAATATTTGGGACTACCCCTTATCCCTGGAAAATAGACAATTAAGGCTTGTGAGCCTCTTATTGATAAATTTACAACCAAGATCAATGGTTGAAGATCGAAGTTTCTTAGTTATGCATGGAGGTGTCAGTTAATTATGGTTGTCCTTTACAGTTTAACACAGTTTTGGGTGGCCACTTTCATTCTAATTAAAGCTCTAATCAAAGAGATAGAAAGAATTTATAGTGATTTTTTATGGGGGTTTAAGAAGGGAGGTAGGAAGAAAGCTGTTGTAGCTTGAAAACATATTACTTTCCCAAAGATAATTGAGAATGGCCTAGGGCTAAGGGATTTGTCAATTTGGAATATAGCTTGTGTCATTCGTCATATTTGGGCTATTTTGGCTCAACGTGGATCTCTATGAGTTGCCTGGGTGAAGGAGTATAAACTGAAGTGGGAGGATTTCTAGTTGGTGGCAAAGAAAGCTGTATCGTGGATCTATAATAAGCTGCTGAAGTGTAGAACCACAGTTGGATCTATATTTCAGGTCCAGGGGTCTAAGGTCCTTTGGAATGGAGTGGTCATGGGAAATTATAGTGTCAAAAAGGTTTGGGAGTCCGTGGAAGTCTCTTATCTGGACCCTTCCAACTATACCAAAGGATCAGTTTTTGGCATGGATGGTTGTGAATGATTATATTTATATTTGTGATAAGATGGCTAGTTGAGGCTACTCAGGTTCTTTAGCATGTGTGCTTTGTGAAACTGGTAATGAGACTAGAGACCATTTGTTTGCCTTTTGTCCAGTCTATCACTTTTTTTTTATTTTTTTTTTTTTGCGCAGGATTGTTCTCTAAGAACTCTGACAGGAAAGTCTTGGATCAGTGGGAGTTGGAGCTGGCTTGGCATATGAACCGATTCAAGTGTAAAGCTGTCGATGCTTGTGTAGGATAAATTTGGAGGGCAATGGTGGGATTAATTTGGAGGGAACGATGATGTTGCCTGAGGTATGGGAGTAACATGATGAGCAGAAGTCATGAAGTGCTACTGAAGGTAATAAAAGAAGATGTGTGTATTGTTGTTGGTCGAGAAAATATGTCCCAATTGTGGTCTATTTTATGTCTCTTGATGTCCTTCGCTGCTGTTGAGCTTGTAGTTGTGGCTATAGTAGTCCTAGGTTAATACTCCACATTTTTAGATGAACAGATTATATACAAAATCTTGATGTTTACTTTAGTCAATTGGCAGGGTGTGTTGCCAATAAGTACTTTAGTTTTTTTTTATGGAATATATAATATTGTTCATAAAAAAATTAATGCAAGGGCCCTTAGTTTTGAGTGGGGAAAAAAAAATCCAGATCTATGTTTATGCAAGGAATCCGCTCCGGAATGGGAGATAAGGCACAAATAAAACCAACCAAAACCATGCTACTTACACGAGTAAAATCAAACGAGCAATATCCAAATTATCATCCCATGCACACAAGGTATTAAAAAACTACTTAGAAGCTCGGTGTATCATCGTCATCTATGCACATAAATAGATTGCTCGATCGGCTTGTTTATATATTCTACCAATTCCCTGATGATGAGGGTTATTAAGCTTCTCTTCCATTTTTGACTAATTGATTCATCATTAGTACTGCTGGCACAGATTATTAACTGGACCACCTTTACTTCCCTAATCCCTACTGAATCTGAATCAGTACTACTGTACTGATGCAGACAATTAATATGCGGCAGACGCGTCAAAGCTAGTGCCTCGATCACCAGGCCAGATAACACAAAACTTATAACTGCCCGCGTAGTTATTGAGTAGTGTCATATATATTATTCCTACCATCTCAATGTTAATTGTTAAGGCTGGAAAAAAAAAAGAGGTGGGAACAAACAAATAAATGGCAGCTAGACCATAGTACGTACGTGTCATTATTTCCCTTGTCCGTGAAAAGGCATAGGAAATGGTTATACGTCAAAGAGTACTTCATTGGACCAATGAGAGAGAGCCAGCTCGTAGGTTGGCAAATCGCCGTCCCGATTGGAGACTTTGATTGCTGGGGAGTGGAAAACGCATTAAATACCGGCCCAACCATCGATCAACCAACTAACCAGCCCGGCCGACCCACGACGGAAACCCATCCTCTACTTTGTCTATATAAAGTAAACCCTCCTCCGGGAGCTTCAATATTCACTCACCCAGCAGTCTTCTATCGACCAGCTTTCTAAAACAGCAAAACTTTTCCTTTACATTTCTCTTAGTCCTACTATCTAGTCTTTGTGCTGTGAAAAATGGCGGGTGCAGCAGCGAAGATGGTGTCGATGGTTCTGGTGTGCGCCTTGGTGGCAGCACCATACATGGCGGCGGTGGATGCCATAACATGCGGTCAGGTGACGAGCAGCCTGGCCCCATGCCTCGGTTACCTGACCGGAAGTGGGCCGGTCACCCCGGGATGCTGCAACGGGGTGAGGAGCCTCAACGGTGCCGCCCAGACCACACCTGACCGCCAAGCCGCTTGCGAGTGCTTGAAATCCACAGCTGGCTCAGTCCGCGGCCTCGACCTCAGCAAGGCCGCTGGCCTCCCCGGTGCCTGTGGTGTCAACATTCCCTACAAGATCAGCCCCAGCACCAACTGCAAATCGTACGTCATTCTTTTTTATTGTTAAGATTTCAACCTTCCATGCTCTAGTTGTTGTTATTATTTCTATCCTCATAGTTGTTAAAATGTTCTCTCGTTTTCTTTTGGCAGCATCAAGTGAAGCGTACGTGTAAACGAACGAAAGCAGGGAATTAAGCGGTCATATTAGGTTCTGCCCTTATAGTTAATTATTATCAATAACAATAATAAAATGTGGTACGAGTATGGGAGACAGCTGGTATAAAGTCTCAACTACTCTAGTACGTACGTAGTACTGTGGTGACCCTTTATTCAGTTATTGTCTCCCCACAGGTCTATGGATCCTTTGTGTTTTGTAACGTTAGTTGTGAGTTCGCCCCGGGTATTGTACTGGGATTCATGTATGTGTGGCCACCATATGGTCAATGCTACGTACTTACTTTTATGTAATGAAATGAAAGTGGCGAGCGGTATGCATATGCCACTTCATTATCTCTTTACTATCTACACAATCACTATTGCCTAGCCACCACCTCAAATTAACCTCTCGGGCTTATGGTGAATCTAATTATTAGTAATTAATATCCAGAATTTTTCCTCATTCATAATACACAAGGTCAATCGAATCAAACCTGAAAGATTACGCAACACATAACACTGAGATTACGTGGTTTCCCCAACGATGATGATCGTTGAGACTAGTCCACGAGAGAAGGCTGTGATCTCTTATTCACGTTCACAGAAGCATACATCGGCCGAAGCCCTTCACCAATACATATATACTCGTCCACCCCAAACGCTAACCACGTCAGAAAAGGAAAATTATGTACATGACGAATTACAAAAAGGTACTTAAACCTTCAACTTCCAACACCCTCCCTCAAATTAATATTGATGGTGCTGGCGCATCATCAATTTGTGAGCTAAAAACCAATGTCGTGCAGAAGCAACCGCCTTAGTTAACAAATCTGCCGTCTGATCCTCTGACGTGATATAGGCAAGCTCAATAGTCCCCTCCGTCATGAACTGGCAAATGTAGTGAACACGAACATCAATGTGTTTGGTGCGATCGTGGAGTATTGGGTTGGTGGCAATCCGAATCGCGCTAGTATTTTCGGCATAGAGACGAATAGGAGTGCGCGACACACTACCCCAAAATCAGCGAACAAATGCTGCAGCCACTCCAGTTCAGAAGTAACTTCACTCATTGATCGATACTCTACTTTAGTAGAAGACTTCGCAACCCAATCTTGTTTCTTGCAGCGCCACGAGACAAAAGACTGCCCAAACTTCACACACCAACCAGACGTTGACCGCCGAGTATCTAAGCAACCGACATAGTCAGCATCAACATAAGCCTCAAAACAGGACTACCACCCACTGAAAAATGTAAGCCTACAGTCTGCGTGCCCCGGAGATAATGTAGGATCCGCTATACAGCACACCAATGGTGAGTGTGAGGTGCAGACATATACAGGCTACCAACCTCTACTGCAGAGGCAATGTCAGGACGAGTGTGAGTAAGATATATCAGACTGCTCACAATACTACAATACAGAGTACCATCCTGAAGTAACTCGCCAGAAGCCCGTGTTAACTTCAAATTTTGTTCCATCTCTGTTGCACAAGAGTCGCAGGTGTCCATTTGCGCCTCATCCAAGAGATCGACAAGATATTTAAGTTGGCACACATGAATACCTGTCGCCGATCTATCAAACTCCAAGCCCAAAAAGTAAGATAACGTACCCAACTCTTTGAGATTAAAAGCATCCCGGAGGAGACTGGATACCCGTCTGATCATTGACACTAATGATCATATCATCAACGTAAATTAACAGGACTGTGATGCCACAATCTGTACGTTGAAGAAACAAGGAGGGATCATTCTGACTCTGAACAAACCCCGCCCAAATAACCGTACTCTGTAAATTCTTGAATCAAGCTCTAGGGTCCTGCTTCCGACCATACAATGACCGACGAAGATGACAAACCATGGTCTTATCCCTCTTTGAGTAACCCGGTGGGCGCTCCATGTAACTTGTCTCCTTCAACTCCCCATGCAGAAAGGCATTCTTGACATCCAACTGTATCAAAGGCCAATCTTGCATTGCTTCCACAACAATGAGACTCCAAACAGTTTTCATTTTAGCCAAAGGAGCAAATGTCTCCTCATAATCCACACCGAACTGCTGGCGGAATCCTTGAGCAACTACACGTCAGGAAGAAACTTTAGCGCATAAACCCATCGGCTCCCTATAACAGTCATCTCAGGACGCCGAGGAACAAGATCCCAGGTGTGTTGTGCCTCTAATGCGTCCATTTCAGTATCCATAGCTGCCTCCCATTGCGGAAGACCTTGAGCCTGCTTGTAGGTGGCAGGAACAAAAATAAGGGACGTGGCGGAGTAAGCAACGAAATCAGAATGCCGAGCAGGAGGTTTTCCTTTGGTAATATGATCCGAGTGCCGCAGAAGAGGAACAACCTATTCGTCGTGATCTGAAGAGCCAGAGGAAGCCGAGGACGAAGAAGAATCGGAAGAACCAGGGGAGGTGGAGGATGACGAGGATGAACCATATGAGGAGGAGTAGGAGGAGGATCATTCTCCTCTTGAACGAGAGGAGTCAAGGGGGCCGAAAAAGTAGGAAACAGAGCCAAAAAATCCCATTGTGAACTGTCCACTGATTGGTCTGACGCATCGTAGGGCGAATGCTCAAAAAATACCACGTGACAAGAGATACGAAGAAGTCTATTGGCCACATCATAACACGCATATCCCTTGTGTTTGTCACTATACCCGACAAACACACACTTCGTAGCCTTGGGAGATAATTTATTGCGTTCCCAACGAGGAAGAAGAACATAACAAATATACCCAAAAACTCGAAGCCACTTATAGTCTGGAATACGCAAAAAAAGAACCTGGTAGGGACACTGTTGATCAAGAACTGGGGTGACCTGACGATTAATCAAGTACACAACAGTATGAATGGCCTCGATCCAGAAGCTAGGAGGAACTCGAGAGTGAAAGACTAAGGCACGGGTAAGTTCAAGGACATGACGGTGCTTACGCTCCACTACCCCATTCTGCTGTGAGACACCCAGACAAGACTGTTGAGGAAGGATCCCTTGCCGTCGAAAGAGATCATGAAGCACGTGAGACACAAATTCTCCCCTGGATCCGAGCATAGTATCTTGATAACCTTTCCGATTAGAAACCATATGAATAAACTCACGAGCAACGTCAATCATTTCTGATTTATGCTTGAGGAAGTAAACCCAGGTGAATCGAGTAACCTGATCAATGAATAGCGCAACGTAGCAAAACCCTAGCCTAGCAATAACAGGAGAAGGGCCCCATAAGTCCGTATGTACCAAGTCAAACGGCTCTAAATATACAGTAGTACTAGTACCAAAAGAGCGCTGAGAAATTTTCGCATCAACGCAGTGAACACACTCATGATCAGGAATAGTACGAACAGAACCCGACAACAAATTATTCTTAAACATCTCATACAATCTGGTTTTATGAGGGTGGCCTAACCGATAATGCCACAAATCCCAATCGAAAAAATGAAATGAATAACTATTGTTTTGAACAGAGAACGAAGAATCCAAAGAAACTGCAGGCAAAGAATCCTCTACGGGGCGAGTACGCCGAACAGCATCACCGAACAGCCCGAGCACACCACCACGATCTGGAGGCTGGCAAAAAAATGTTATCCAGCATATACACCGTCCATGTATAGTCCCTCTCTCGATCTCCCTGCCTGTCCTCGTGTCCTGCACATCGCAACCATGAGCATCAAATATCACCTTACACCCTTCAGCTGCTAGCTGACCCACCGAAACCAAGTTCGGGACCAATTTCGGAACATAAAAGGTATTGGGCAGCTCCAATTGATTATTACGAACAGTACCCACACCATCAACAGAGACAGTGGAGCCATCAGCTACTTGCAGGTAATTAATTCCAGAACTAGGATGCACATGAGTAACTGAAGAACGATCACTGGTCATGTGATTGACAGCTGCAGAATCAATATGTTAAGAGGGAAGAGGACTAGAGACAGTACCCGTAGCAAGGCGGAGCCTACAGCAAGAGAAGCCATCTCCTGGAGTGCCTCACGAATAAGGCGCTTTATATCATCCTGAGACACAACAGAAGAGCTAGCTGGGACAACGGTGACGGGCGGAGCATAGGTAGTGGCATACGCACCCCTAGACGGAGTAGGACCAAGGGCAATGCGAGGTCCCACGGAAGATGAACCACTACCATGAGAACGACCCCGGTGAGCAAGGATCGGACAGTCGCCAATCACGTGACCTGATGCCTTGCAATAGTTACACGCCACACGTATTGGACAGCAAACCTGAACGTGGTCAGGCTCCTTGCAGTGATAACAAATGATTTCTCCATAAGTAGTACGTCCAAAATATGGACGGCCAGACTGCACCGTAAATGCCGCACCCGTATCAGAAGTATGAAGATCAAGTTTGGCTTGACTACGCAGGCGGATTTCTTCCCGAACTAGCTCACCCAACACCTCCTCAATTGTGGAAATATTTCGATGAAGCATAGATGAACAAATCCCCTCAAAAGCAGGATTAAGCTTCATTAGGAAATGCATAAGACAAGAAGTAGCACGATCTTTGCGAACTTCAGCCGAAGTAGCATTCGGTACCAAGGAATTTGTAGGAGATCCTGTTCAGTCCATATGTTGAGAACATCTTGATAATATGATTGAACGTCCAAATCTCCTTACTATAATGAGGAAATTTTGTCTTCGAGTTCAAACTTGCGTGACGCGTTTGCCTGCGAGTGGATATCACAGAGGTGCTTCCACATCCTCGCTACCGTAGTGAAGCCTCATAGACTAAGAGCCATGGACGGCTCCACCGACTTCAGGATCCAAGAGATAACTTGAGCATTTTCAATAGCCCAATCTGCGTAGTCTTAGCCGAGGCAGATTCACCCGGCTCTGAGATGACCCATCCAAGATTGGTAGGAGACGCTGCCCTTGCCCCTCGGACATACACCCGAAACTCCAGCTCCCATAATGGAATTTTTTTTCCATTCAATCGATAAGACACAACGTCTAACTTGAAGCCCTCCATGAAATCACAAATAACACCAATAGAGCACACGTATGGTGGATATGAAACACTTAAAGAAATGGACCCCAATAAAGCACAACAACAAGCAGAAGAGGAGTCCAGAAGACCCAAGAGAATGCCCAACAAACTCCAGTTAGCAGCTAATAAAAGAACCCAAAGAGCGCCGTCTGGAATACGATCGGAAGTCGAAGAACACTGAAAACCAGAGAGCTGCCCGAAACAAGAACGACATTCGAAGAGCACCGAAAATGAGAAAGCTACCCAGAACAAGAATGAAAACCGAGAAAAACCAACCGAGAAGAGTCTGCACAAACCACGAATGGCAGACGACCAACAAACGCACGAAAAACCCGCGAAAATTCAGAGAAGCTCTGATACTATGTCAATCGAATCAAACCTGAAAGATTAAGCAACACAGAACAGCGAGATTACATGATTTCCCTAATGATGATGATCGTTGATACTAGTCCTTGGGAGAAGGTTGTGATCTCTTATTCACGTTCACAGAAGCATACATCGGCCGAAGCCCTTCACCAATGCATATATACTCAGCCACCCCAAACCCTAACCCACGTCAGAAAAGGAAAATTATGTACATGGCGAATTACAAAAGGTACTTTAACCTTTAACTTCTAACATAGACCGCAAGACTTACAAAGGTAGTGGACTCATAGGTTATATATATACTAGAGTATCTCATAGAGTGGCAGAGGCTCCGTTGGTTATCTACTAGAACTCAGTCAAATCTAGAAAATCCCAATCAAATTGGGAAATCCATCCGATTTAACCAATTGATTCGAGCACCGGCCCACTTCAAAACAATTTTGTTTTATAAATCGTACATGTAGCATCACTGTCATGTTGTCTTTTTCCTTATCACAAAAACCTACAATACGGAACATGAACAACCCATGTTCGATGATAGACCATTGATTGCACATGTTTATACCTCCATTCTTGAGCCGCTTGAGAGTCGATTCTCTTGTTTTAAGCCGATTTCACGCTAGGTTGTATGTTTATGTCATATTTCAGGAATTGGCGTTGACGTGAAGGCAAGGAAACGAGTTTCGGGTCAAAAAGGAGGACACTGGAGTGAAGGGCGCTGTAAGAGAAAAATACTCGGTCAGGAGTTAAAATACCCGGCCGGGTAAAATGCAAAGGGAGGCCGGGGATTCGTGTTTTGGACGCCAAAAAGGCAGAAGGGGTCCTGACCGGGGAGCTAATACCCAATCAGGTATTCTGGACCTCGATCGGGTATTAACCTCCTAGTCGCTGTGCATCGTTTTGAAATCCCTGGCCGGACACCTGAAATACCCGACCGGGTATTATGGCTGGGGATCGCGACCATCTGCTTTTTAAGGGAAAGCAGACCAATTATTGAAGGGTTCCGAGTTTTGGAGATAGAAAGCTGATACCTGGAGAGAGAGAGAGAGAGAGAGAGAGAGAGAGTGACAAA